ACGACTTTGATGAGCAATGGGTGCATGACGGGCGAGCCCTCGAAGCTCCGGCAGTGGGACGGGACGAATTTGCTAGCGAGCAGATGTCAGTGCCGTAGCGGATGCCGAGGAAACCCCACGGTGATCCCGGAGGAGGGAGGGTGGTTGGAAAACGCCCTGCGTATCCGCACATGTGTGTGTGTTTGCACCTGAGTCGACGTTGTGCGACCATGGGTCATGCGCCTGGAGAATTTTGGGCCAAGCCGATGAGACGTCTGAGCAGTCACGGCGCTAAGAGGATGGAGGGTGGCCTCGATGGTGCTGTGGCGCTATCCGTACTTGGGGAAGGAGGGGGGGGGGGGTGGAATACGCTGAACCTAGTTGGGAGGCAGGCATAATCATGATTACAGTGGAAAGACGACAGACATCATCGTGGCATGTGGCTTTCCATGGCAGAGTCGGGGGGACATCCATCCACCAACGGTGCCAAAACTTACCCGGGTTGCAGGTTGCTCGACTACAGCAGAGCCGTTGACGAAACCCACAACCGCTGCCTTGAACCGCTGCCCTGAACCGCTGCCTGGAACAGCTGCCTTGAACAGTAGCCTTGAACAGTTGCCTTGAACAGCGAACGTGTCTTTTTTGTTGGGCTGTACGGAGGAGTACTGTACATTGTCTGTCTCTCATGCTGGTGAGCCAACCCAAAAGAAGCAACCAACACGACGCTGCAGTAATTAGTAGGGCGACTTCAAACCACCTTTTTTTTCCCACCTTCTCTTCTCTTCCCTTCTCCTCTCTTCCCTTCTCTTCCTTTCTTTTTTTGTTGTTTTGGAAGGGGGGGCGGAGGGGGTCCGAGGTGAGAGAGAGGGGGTTGCATCCACACTGATTGACTTGGATGAAAAGTACGGCAGGTACCGAGGACTGTACACGGATAGCTTCACAATCTCCAAAGCGATGCATGCAGTCTGTTTGCAAAGGGAAAAGAAGAGGCGGCGTCGTTTGTGGGCTCGTGTCTCTCTGGCGACTCGGTTGAGAAAGGGCAGCCGCCCAACGACGGCCGTGGGTGGAGGGTTGTGTGTTGTGTTGAGCAGGGAGCGACCAGTTCAAGGTTCAAGAGGGGATGGATGAGCCAACAAAAAAAAAGAAAGGGAGAGAGGGGAGCAGAGCAACTCCACCAAAGACGGCACGCGGCGCCCGGCAAAAAAGCGGCTAGGGTTCCTGGCCGGATTGGCTCCCTTGATGTCTCGGCCGGCGGAGAATAGTAGATGTCGTTCAGGAGGAAGAGGAGACGTCTTTGGCACAGTCGGTAAATACCTACTACTATACAGTACAGCACAAGTGCAGTACAGCACAGTGGGTAGACGATGGCATCAACAAGGGCGAGTCACATGCGCGGGTTTTGGCCTGCAACGAGGTGGGTGGGTTGTCAGGCAATCAAGCTTGGCTCGCTTTATAATGGAAGAAAAAGGAGGAGCCACAGAGGAGGAGGAGGGAGGCAGGATACGATGCGCGCGATGCAACCACATACCGGTATGGCTATGTAAAGTTATAGAGAGACGTGAATACAAGGTATCAAAGTACGACGATACTCGGTACTTTTCTTTATATCGACGCATACTGTACATGTGCATGCATGCAGTCAGTACCTTCAAGTCCCCGTATCGTCACATGCATCTACCCACTGATGCATGTAGACGGGCTGTACACAGTACATACTGTACGGCACGGACGATGCGTCCATCAACGAGAGCAAGCAGACAAGGCCACGGTGGGGGGGGGGGACCTCTTTCGTCTCTCGAGCCGCGCCTAGTCGCTGGGAAGCTCCTCGACCTCGACCACGGCGGCGGCGGCGGCGGCGGCAACCTAGAACATGACTTGGGGCTGAAAGCGCTGGATATGCACATCCCCTGCTTTGCCGTTGCGCCAACTGCCATGTACAGATGCACAGTACGGAGTACTCCATACATTGTAGTAGGTTAGGTAGGTAGGCAGGTACTCAGGTAGGTTGTATGCAGGCGTCCGTGGCAGTAGAGAATGCTCACACGGTGACATTGAGGCTGCCGTGACCCGGACCCTTTGCTGCCCGCCCTTTTTTTACTTTCTTTTCCCCCGGAGTCAGGAAGCCTGCCCTTGCAATCTCGTCCACACCGAACGCCGGCTCCTTCTGTGGCACTTCCTTTTTTTCCGTCCTGGAATTGGGGGTTTTTTGGTCTTTACAAAATAAAACAAAATAAAATGGAGCCCGAGTAGGAAAAAAAAGGGGATTGACACATCGGAGCAGATGGTTTTTGTGCGTGCTCCGTACACGATGAATGCCTCGGGCATGTACGTACTGTGGGGCTTCCCGCCTCTCGCGGTATCCGTCCGAAGCCTTGCTCTCCTCCAAGCTCTGCGCCGCTTGGATATTTGTAGCACCCACGGAAAGCTGCATGTTCCGTCTGATCTGTCCACTCCATGCTGTGTGTGCAGAGTCTCCTTTCTTCTCGCGCCTGGATATTTCCCAATCCAACTTTAAAATGGGCGGTCCACTGGAAATTTCCATGGACCACTTTCTGCAAGCCAGCGCTGGGATGGCGCGCCAGGGTTCCCTGTGCGCGCTACCAGGTGCCTCGCTCGGGGGGGGGGCCAATGGGCCGAAAATACGGGCTCGGTTGCCGCGTTGAAGAAACTCCACTGAGAACAAGACGCTGGAGGAAAAAAGAGACAGCCGAGAGAAACAAGGAAGAAGGAAAACGCCCCTATGCCACTGGCGAGTCGAGTCTCGAAAGCAGAGAATTGATATTCCTCCGTGGCCGGCCCGTCTTGGTACCCCGAGCGAGCAAGAGTCTGGAACCCGTGCGCACACTGTACGGCCCAAAGGGGGCGGGGGGCTAAGACTTCAACTGCAGGCCTGATTCACAGGTTCAGTTTTTAATGCTTGCAGGTACCCTGAATGGACGCGCGCCAATATATCCCACAAGAGATGAGGAATAAGAAAAGAAAAGGGGGAGGGGGGCGAGGGTAACGACAAAGCCATGTACAGTGTGTACTGTACATGCAGGGTACGCAGTTGGCCTGTGGGCGGAAAAGGGAGGCCATCGGGATGGTTTATGCCACGACCGAGATTCCGGCATTGAATGCCCCCTCTGTTTATGAGCGTCTCGTTTCGAGGACCCGTCCCGCCGCGGCCGTGTTTCAAAAATTAAAATAAAATTCATGGGCGGCGGCCATGAGGTTTCGCCACGCCCAAAACTCTCCAAAACGTCCTCCACTAGCGCAGTTGAGTCGCAATCTTGCGTCCCATGCCCTTCTCGCTTAAGCCAACCCAAGCTTGCCCCAGGCCCGAGCTTTCACTGCTAGTCAGTCCTACACAACCATGACAACGCACGCGTGTCCGTCTCCAGCCACATGACATGCGGAGAGGGCAGCCCTCCCCGCCAAGATCTGTACGGATTACGTAGCGAGCATAGCAAAGGAGGGCCGCTTGGTATGGGCAGCCCACTCGGCCCTCGATGCCCGTCATGGACGTCCATGCAAAGGAGAGAAACGTGGTGCTTCAAACGCTGCGGCGTGCTGGTGCATTGGAGCAATGACGAACGTCTTCAGTGCGTTCGCACGTGCATGAGCCATGCCAATGCTTTCTCTCGTATCGTTGCTGCAACTAAGTTATCTATTTACAGTACATATATGCTACTGTACAGTAGGTACACATGTATGTAAGAGAGCTGCGAAGCACAGTAGATATCTACGTAGACACCTAGCTATCTACTGTACGTGCGTGTACTGTACCGTACGCATGGCCCAGTCCAGTCCCATGCAGTGGCCGATGGATGATGAATTATTACTGGATGAGGTGGTGATTCGGAGGGGGAAGTTGCGCCAAGGAATCAAGATGATGGGGGAGTGAGGGATGGAGTGCGCGTATCCATCCCTCACTCTCGATGCAGCATGGACGCAGAGAATCGTCGACATTACTCGCCTCGGACTGAAAATAATCGCTTCGTTGAGCAGCACTCTTGCCACGAAAGCCGTTGCTTCTCTCGCCCACGATGCCCGAGACCTGCTCGAATGGAACCCTCCGTGTCCGTGCGTCGGCCCAGGTAGCGGGTACTTGGTCATGTTGTCCACCTCCCTTAGGCTCGCCGTTTGCTCTCCCTCAAGAGGAGCCGCTACCAAAGCCATGTGCATATTCATATTCTGATGCCTACCACGGCGAGTTCTGCGTACACGTGCGTGATGTATCTGCGCGGCACTGTACAGTACAGTGAATGCTCAACAGCGGACCTGCGCATCCATGTACTGCCCAGAACCTCGGGGTCGAATACTGTAGTGTACCTAGGTACTACTAGTGGTAGGTCGACGACGGCCACAGCAGCCGGGCGTCGTCCAGCGTGGAATTATTACTCGCAAGGTACACAGTACCGACGGGGCGTTCCTGGCGCCAAGCCACAGCACCAAGCGACCAGTACAGCACCTCGGGGATGCAAACTGGGCGCGCACCACAGTGCAAAGGAGTACTAAGTATGTAGGCATACCATACTACCATACCTGTTCTGCTGTAATATGCTGTACCTGCATGTGGCGAGCACCGGTCCAAATGGGCAGATAGTACCCCTTCGGGCACGGCTCGCATGGGCAACGGCCCCATAGGCCCACCCCCGTCGTGGGCTCAGAAATTGAAAGGGAGGTGAGAGGGTGGGGAGCAGAGACAGGGCCCAGCAACCCTCCTGTCTCCCCTTGCCGTACCTCAGAGGGCATACTTGTCAGGTTCTTCTTGACTGCCCCCCTGCCCTGCCGCCCTCTGCCTCTCTCCCCTCCCAGCAAATAAGTACCCTTCGTCCCCTTTATCACCTCCCCCCCTCCTCTTTCCTCCTCCTTCTTCCTTTCCTCCTCCATCGCCACAAGCCCAGCCTGTGCCCGTCCAAGCTTGCTGCAACCCACAAGCCCTTTTCTGGATCTTTTTCTTTTCTTATCCTGTCTCGCCTTTGTTTGCTGTGATACCCAATCCTCCTCGAAGATACCCCCTCATTGCAATATCCAGAATGGCCGAAGAACAGAAACCCACCGTCGAGGTGCCCGAAGTCGCAAAGACCGAGACTGCCCCTGCCGACCAGGCTATCTCTGCGGAGGCTCCCCCCATCGACTCCGTCAAGCCAGTAGACGCCATCGACGCCGCCGACGCTGCCAAGACCGAAGACAAAAAGGATGAGATCAAGCCTGTCGACGAAGGCCACCTCGGCCACAAGGCGCAGGGCGCAAGCTTCCCCAAGTAAGTGTCCAGCACGAGACATCCCACCGCCCCGATACATCAAGAACAGCTGGCTAATACTGCCCCATTACAGGAACCTGATTCCCAGCAAGGAATTCTTCTTCTTCGGCTCCGATGCTGTCGAGCCCAAGTCGCTCGCCCACTACCAGAAGAGTGAGAAGTCTGCGGAGACTGCTCACGACAACGTCGCATGGGCGTCGCACACAGGCAAGGGCCTGCTCTTCATCGGTGACAAGAAATCCCCCCACAGCATCATCAACCTGGTATGCTCCACCTTTGTCCAGCAACGACAGCCGCACCATAATCGTCGACTGACACTCTACGTAGGCTCATGCCAGTGAACCCGAGACCGACGGCTCCAACAAGTTCCACCTCACCGCCAAGGGCAACAAGCACAGCTTCAAGGCCGCCTCGACTCCTGAGCGTGACAGCTGGGTCGCCCAGCTGAAGCTCAAGATCGCTGAGGCCAAGGAGCTTGCCGTCACTGTGACCGAGTCGGAGACTTACAAGAAGACGCTTGAGTCGCTCAAGCCAGCGGCCATCCTCACCAAGGAAGAGAAGCCTGCCGAGGACCCGCTCAAGACCGAAGAGTCCGCCAGGGCTGAGGATGCGGCCAAGGATGACGAGGCCTTGAAGGAGGAGCCCAAGGAAGAGGAACCCAAGCGCCGGTCTGCCAGCCGCAAGCGAGCCTCTTTCTTCAGCTTTGGTGGCAAGAAGGAGGAAAAAAAGGATGAGCGCAAGTCTGAAGACGCACTCGCCGCCGAGCCCGCTGCTGTCGACGCAGAGGAGGCCCCGGTTACCGACGCCCCGACTGCCGCTGCCGAGGACAAGCCCGCCGAGGAGGCTATTCCCGCCGAGAGCCCCAAGGATAAGCCCGCGCCATTCAAGCGCAATAGCTTCTTTGGCAATGTCTTCTCCAAGAAAGAGAAGAAGCCTGTCGATGCAAACAAGGCTACCGAGGAAACCCCTGAGATTGCCGCTGAGACCGACGTCACCACTACCGATGCTGTCGCCCCGGTCATCCCTCCCGTCGAGTCAACTACCCCCCTCGCCGTCGATGTCTCCAACCCTGCCACGGTTCCTACCGAGACTGTAGAGACCCCTGCCATCAACGGCGACGTCAAGAAGGATCTCAAGGAGAAGCGCAAGTCCTCGCTACCCTTTGCCTTCGGCAAGCGCGACAAGTCTCCTGTTCCCGCCGATAACGAAGAGAAGTCCGGCATGAGTGCGTTCTCCAAGCTCCGTGCTACCATCAAGGGCAAGTCCGCCTCTAAGGCCGAGGAGAAGCCTGTTGAGGAGGCTGCCAAGGATGAGTCTGCCGCCGCCGAGGCTGCCAAGGAGACGCCCACGGAGGGCGTCGCCAAGGAACTGACCTCAGCCCCTGAGGCTTCCACCACTGCTCAGTCCGAGGCTGAGAACAAGCCCGAGAATGTGGCTGCTACTACCCCCGCCGTCACCGCTGCCGCCTAGAGGGCCACGAACATGTGAATTTGCTGCAAAAACCAGAAAAGCTGAAGAAAAAAAAGACATTGCATGAGAAAGGGTAGGGATGGAAGGAAGGTTCTGCATTTCTTTCACAAGATACCAAGATACCCTGTCAAGACTGCTTTCACTGATACCAATTTTCATATTGCTGTTCTTCCAGTAACAGGAACAAAACTTGAAGAAAAAAAGGATAACGCAACAATCGCTAGCTAGTATCACGCGTCAGGCTGTTTTGTTCGATACCCGTGGGAGAGAAAAGATGGTAATAGTTAATAATACAACTTGCGCTTTGTGTATTGGAGAGTTTGGTCTCTGCTGCCTGTCATGATCCGCCAGTGATACTGTCATGGGCTGAATAGCGTCGCCATTTCCAGCCCAGCAAAGTGCAATCACCATGCTCGCTCGTCTCCCCCTTTCAATGCTCCCGAGCAAGAGTAGCCTCCTTGCAACCTGGCGGACCCCCCCTGAACCTACAAAATGGATCGTCATCGCAAATCCAGTCGCCGGCGAGGGGCGCAGAGAGATCTTGCACGGCGGCCGGTGCGTGTACGAGGGAGACGATACCATTCTTGACTGTCCAACTGCGTGTGCGCATGTGGCGCGGGATATGACCTACAAGTAGACAAGAACACGCAGCATCACCACATCTACTATCCCCGCAATCAAGCGGCCAAAAGTCAAGCTTCGGCAGCAGAGCTGTGTGTGCCCAGCTGCCAGCTCCAGCCCGCCCTGGACAATGGTCCCTTGCTTATGTACAGCGTCTAATTAATATGGCGTACACGAGCCACGGCCGTCCCCGGGCCCTGAGCCTTGGTATTCAGGCATAGTGCCGCCCCTCGTCCCCCAGTCATATATCCATTGCGCTGAAGTGGTCCGGCGAATCGCGGTTTCCAGACAAAGGCGTGTCTGGCCAGACTACCCTTTCCACAAACAGAGACGGCTGAGAAGCAAAAAGAAGGGGGAATCGTAAATGTAGTGTGTCCTCGTCGCTTGTCAAGCCCGTCCAATGCTGGCACGTCGACCAATCACCCATTTGTAGCTCCCGGTTTATGCATTGCCTCCCTCTCCCCCCAAAAAAAAGCATCCCTACTCTGAAAACGCCGGCTACCCATGTCGTATGCTCAGGTCGCTCGAGATGTGACAAAGTAAAGTTAAGACAATAAAGTCCAAAGCAAGGGGACCCGCATCGCCGCGATTTTGCCCCCGGCCGCACCGAATTAACCCAACAAAACTCCGGCGGATAATGTTGACGTGGTGGCTTGAATAGCCCATACCTTAAGCCCCGTTGGCGGACACGGAGAGTTTCTCGTACTTTGCGACCAGCTCCTCGATCTTGGGAATCAACTCGGGGATGCGGAACGGCTTGGAAATGACGTCGTCCTAGAAATGGATTAGTATATCGTTGCCCTCACGGGAGCAGAGTAGCAAACTCACGATGCCCGCGGCCTTGGCGTTTTCGATCTGCTCCGGCCGCGCGTAAGCTGTGACGGCGATGATGGGGATATGCTTCACAATGGTACCCTCCCTCTCGAGCTCCCGAATCTTTCTCGCACAAGTCATGCCATCCATGACGGGCATCTCCAGATCCATCAAGATGACGGAAATGTCCACGCCTTCCGACTCTTGTCCGGCCCAAAACCTCGACTTCTGCAGCGTCTGCAGCGCCTCGCGACCGTGATTGGCCACAAACGTTTTGTTGCCGCAGTCGCGCAGCTGTCGCTGCAGGACCATTTGGTTCACAATGTTGTCCTCGACGATGAGCACGTCGAACAGCGGGCGTTCTGCCAGGCTCATGACATTGACAGGGGGCGTCATGCGGGACGGCGGAGTGGCAGTCAGCTGGGGGCCCGTCATGGCCGGTGCTTGAACCTTACGGCCTATCCTGAACGGTGAGATGCGCTCGAATTCTGCAGGCGGATCCATACACTTGCGGCTCTGGATGTAGAAGTTGAACCTGCTTCCCGATCCTCTCGCAGACGTCACCCCGATCTGACCACCCTGCATCTCTGTCAGGATCCTCGAGATGAAGAGGCCGAGACCGGAGCCACCGTATTGCACGTGCGTTCGTGGCGTTGCTTGCTGGAACCGTTGGAACAGGACCTTGAGCTCTTCCTTATCCAGGCCCGGCCCCGTGTCTTCCACCGAGCAGTGTAGATTGATCCTCTCGCCGCCACCCCACTCTTTTTCGTTGGCAATGTCCATGCCAATCGTTCGCGGGCTGTCGCTTTTGTCAAAATAAAGCACTCCCTGGCTTGTGACTTCGCCAATGTCTTTGGACACGCTCAGAGACACGGTGATGCTTCGGCGGTCTCGTCCCTGTGTAAACTTGATGGCATTCGTCATCAAGTTGATCAGGACTTGTCGCAGCCTCGATGGGTCTAGCTTGGCCCATTCGACCCCGTGCTTCTCGAAGCTGCCGTCGACGTTGAAATACAACTCGATATCGTGCGCCATCAGTTCTGACTCGAACATCTTCAATGCACGTTGAACCACCTTAACCGGCTGCTCGTCGATGGGAGTAACAGCCAGTAGATTCGAGTCGAGCTTGGAAAGGGTCAAGATGTCGTCGACGATGCGCTTCTGGTGGCTGGCGCAAAGGTTGATGGTGTTGGCGGCGTCTAGACAACTCTCCAGCAGTGTCTCAACCTTGGCCTTGTTGTCGTGGGCTGTGAACGCCGTGATGTTGTTTGCGATTTGATCTGCACACTGCAGGACAGCGGACAAGGGGTTGCGCATTTCGTGGCTGGTGATGTCAATGAAGTTTTCTTGCTGGCGCTTGAGCTCGACAGCCTCCTCGCGTCGTTCGTTCTGGACCTTTTCCGCCCATTTTTGGGAGGAAATGTCGGTGAGGCAGCCGAAAATGGACTTGAGGCCCCCGTCCCCGTTCTTCTCCGGGAACGCGCTCATGAGAACCCAAGTGTCCATAGTATTGCCGCCACTTTGTTGGCTATGCTTGAACCGAAACTCAACGGAAATCGTCATGCGCTCTTGGAGTAACTTTTGCCACGCTTCGTCGAGAGAGGGTCTGTCTTCGTCTCTGACGCTGCTCATCCACGCAAGTCCTGTTTCGTCGAAGCGCGAGTGTCTGGAAATCTGCCACCACATATCGTTGCAGTAGTCGATACGGCCCTGCGCATCGGCTGTAAACATACCGACGGGGGCAAACTCGGCCATGCGAGTGAATCTGAACTCGCTCTCGTTGGCCTCTTGCGTCCGCAACAGCAGTTGCATCGACAGCTCCTGGCGGTCCAGCGCCGCTAATCGCGCCGCTCGCTGGCCACGGCGAATCTCTTCTTCGAACAGCACAACCGAAGCCATCGAGGTTGCTAGTTGCCGGGACAGGAGATGGATGAAAAGCTTGTAGTTGTCGTCATACGGCCGCCTGGGGTTCAAGCCCAGCACAATGAAGCCAGTGACGGCTTCCTTTGTCGTGGGCACGACGGGAAAAACGACAATGGTCGTGCATGCGTCGCCGAATCCGCGCCAGTTGATGCCTTTGATGAGGTCCTTGGGAAGAGTGCCATCATTCTCAGAAAGAACCAGCGGTTCCCCGCCGCCTGCCATGCACTGTCGCATGTATGGCGCGAATCCTTCTTCCGACATTCTCAGATCGAGGAAGTGGGGAGCGGCAGGATGTCCTTCGGGGACGCCGGGGGACCCCTCGCGCATGATTTGGGATGAGTGCATGAAGCTCCCCGAGTGCAGCGAGGATGCCTCGCTCTCGGCCTCCTCTTTTATCGAGTATATAAGAGCGAAAGGCGCATCGCATTCGTTGTACTCGAGGCCCTTTTGAACCTGGGGCCAGAAGCCGCTCACCGTGGTCGCCATGGCTGTCCTCTCTCCAATCTCCCGCAGCGTGAGCATTCGTCGATCGTTGACCCTGCGCAGTGTATTCTCAAACGCCGGATTGTATAGCCCTACTACTTCGCCTTCGTTTCCGACTAGCGGTACGATGGCCCAAGAGAAGAACGTTTCTTCCAAGAAGCCGGCGCGTCTGATGAAGAGGCGATTGTCGTGTTTCATGGTTGCCTGCCCGCATTCCCAAGCGCTCTTGAAAATGGGTTCAATTTCGGGCCATATTTCCGACCAGGCCTCGGTGTATTTCTGGCCCATGAGTGACGGGTGTTTGCGGCCGGCCAGCTCGATGTACGCGGCATTGTATATGCAGATAAGGTCAGGGCCCCAGTACATGGCGGCAGGGTGAGGGCTACCCATGATCAGATTTGACATGGCCCTCAGGTCGTATGACCATTCGGAGATGGGGCCCAGAGGCGTCGAAGCCCAGTCTACCGACTTGGCAAACTTGATGTGCTCGGGGAGGCTGTCGGCGACGGGGACACGGGTCCAGTCAAAGACGTTCTTGGTGGGCTGGAACTGGAGCACCTGATTTGTAAACTCGTCTGGGTGTCCATGGTCGGCGCTCTGCTCGAGCACCGTCTTGATGGTTCCCAGACTCGACGAATCTCCTTTGAGGCCGGGGGCAGCATCGCCGAAGTAGTCTGGAGGGTCGATTACTTCTCCGGCAGGAGAGGTTGGCACGGATGGGGGTGAAGGGGAGTCATTGGTGGCGACGGCGGCGGGCTCGGCTGAGCGAGGGCGAGGCGTGATGGATCGAGGGGCCGCAGGGGTGACATTGCCGCTTATAAAACGGAACCTCTGGCGCAGTGTTATGCGCGTCCAAGTGATACCGCCGTATTCGTGATACGGCAACGATGTGTCGATGTCGTCATTCTTGGGGACATCGTAGGCCCACGACTTGAAGCGATCAAAGCCTTCGGCAACGGAGGTGTCTTCCGAGTCGACAGCGAGAAGATTTTGTATTTCGGGACAGCATCGCAAGGAGCCATTGTAGTACAAGATTTCGAGACCCGGCCGATTCAGGTTAAGTGGACCAGCCAGGCAGAGAAGGAAGGTTGGACGGTCATCGTGTTCAAGGAGCTCGATAGCGCCAATGCCTTGGACCGCTTGCAAGCCGGCTGGAAGGTTGCGCGAGTCGGAGCTCATGTCCATGGAGGAAGCCAAACTGCCCGGCGTACTGCCCGACATGGCCCGGCTTGAGGAGCTGACACTGGCGCGCGGGAGCTTGACGGTGGTGACAATTCCGGCTGGGTCGTCACGGCCGCGCGATAGCATGCTCGCAGCTATCTCGGAGGCGGTGGAGCCCGAAGGGCGGCTAAGGATTCTCGCGGGCGCATGAGAGAAGAAGAGAGGCGAGGAGCCGTCTCGGGCTGACGAGGCCAAGGAAGGTGGGGGAATCGTGGCCGAGGGCGGAATCTCGAATCGCCTGGGGGGTGAGGCTCCGGTCCGGGCTTTCTTGACGGGGGCCCGGTCCATTGCGCGACCAGGAGCCTCGTCCTGCCTCGGGGGCCGCTTTGTAGACTTGCGGGGGCGCCAGGGCTTGGTGGCGGCGAGGTTCTGCGGCGGGTGCTGCCGGTAGTAAAGACTGCGATAATGCGAGGTAAGAAGGGCCCTGGGTGGCCGCGAGGTGGCGTCTGAGCTGGGGAGGTTCGCAATGGCCGACAAGGCTGCGTGGCCGTGACGGTTAGCAGCAGCAGGTGGCCATGGTCCCTGGAAAGCACTGGGATAGCGCCTGTGGTTTTGCCGGTGGCGGCGACGGCCTTCGGAGGAGACGGTAACGGCTGGGTCGATGGAGGGAGGCGAGGCTGGGGCGGACGTCAGGGAGCCGACGAAGGCAGAAGGTGAGGCTTCGCGAGCAGTGTCATTGGGGGAGGAGGCGGCGCCGACAGCGATGGGAGGGGCAGGGCCGGTGCGGGACGCAACGCCATGGTCTGGCTGCTGCATCAAGGCGCCCAGGGGGTCAAGAGAGGATGGGGGAATGCAACCAAAAAGGCGAAGGGACTATGGGCGAAGACAAGCGAGGTGCCGGCAAGACAGACGGGTTACTGACGAGAGGGCCCTTTGGTCCCAAGGGACGGGTCAGACGGGGTCTGTTGGCGGTACCGGTACAAGATTTCCCTGCTTCGGGCATGGGGCCTGGGCCCGGTATTTTTTGGGGTGATCGGGGGCAGAGCGGGTGATCGAAGGGGCGATGGTGGAATTGGGTCATAAAAGCACAGGTAAGTATGCTGAATGTAAGTGGTAGGCCGGTACCAGGCTAATAATGGGGCGTGGGCAAACAGAGGTGGTCAAGGTGTCAAGGATGTGCCCCAAATGCTTGTTGGATCGAGGAGGATTAGGTCCGTCTCGTTGCTGCCGAGATGCAAGAGGGTATTTGTGCGGACAGGGCTGACGCCGAGGGCACGGTCGGTAATCAGGTAGGTTGGGTAGGACTGAGCAGACGCGATCCAGTGAGACGAATGGCCCAGGCAGGCGACACCCCATTGGAGATCCAGCAAGGCGGCGGTCGCCTGCGCAGTCGGTAAGTGACTTAATTAGTCGGTAGGCAGGTATGAGTCGCACGTGGTTTGTCGGAGGGACGACAGGAGGCCGGCGGGCGGGCCGCAGAGCTGAGCGATGGATGGCGGGCGGGAGACGATGCAAGGTCAGGGAAGAGTCGAGATGAGCGAATGGAAGGACGCCATTTTACCGGTGCCCTACCGTGAGTGCTTACTGTACAGCTTGTCGCGCTTCATTACTACCTAAGTACCGTAGTACTGTACTGTACTTTACATGGTACCTACCCTCTCTAGGTAGGTAGGTATCTATCAGGTACAGCCAGTGAGCACTGGACACTCCGTAGGTTAGGTACCCATGGGTAATACCTAGATACCTACCTAGGTACCTATCTAGGTACCCACGCAAGGCAGCATGCAATTTGCGTCGCCGCCAACCACCTGCAAGGGCTTCACTTCACTCCAGGTGCCCAGAGGCACGGAAACTGTACATGCCGGGTAGCTCCAACGCAAAGGGCCAGCAGGAAGGAACTGGCAGAGCCAATTGCTCCACTCCCGGACTCTGGAACTCTGGACTCGGAGCCGGACTCTGTATATGGAATCAAAACTAACACCATCTCCCGCTGTCCCCGAGCCGTTGCGTAATGCCTGTTAAGCATCTTGTTCCGCGATACGGGCGCCTCGCGTGCACAGAGAGCGGATAATGTCTTGTGCTTCGCACGGAGTCATATTGGGCAACCTAAGGCAGCGATCCCCGACCCGGCTCGGTAGCCCTCGGTTGGGCAGCGGAGTTATTTGCGTGCTGCATCTGCACCCAAGAATGAGAAGCTGTCGTCGGAACTTGGCATCATTGTGCATCTCGGCTTCAAGGACGAGTCGGTAGAGAGCGTCGGAGAGACCGATTCACCCCTCGCATCATTCCGCTGTTGTACTTTGTGTGTCTTGCGGTAGGTGCTCGCGAATACAGTGTGTGAGAGAGAGGGAGAGAGAGAAGGGGGAACAAGGACGTTAGCCAACTGTCGGAAGAGGAGAAGATTCGAGGCGCATCTGTACGAACTTTGCAGCACGGGGCTCAAGGAGCGGTGCTGCAGCATCAGGCGGGACGTGGATGGGCTTGGCTAGAGATTGGTAGGGAGGACAAGGCGGGCAAGGAATGCGACAGCCTGCGGCAACCCCTTATCTCGTCCATCGTGGTTTCTCATGAGATCCTGTCAATGGGCCTGGCGCGGCGCCGAGTGCGTGGAGCTACCCTTGATCCTTGGCGGCCGTACGGAGTATCCGTACCTACGGGGGTGCTACGGGGCCAGCGTTTGTCCGTTCCGACGCTTCTTTCTGCTTTCTTCTTCCCCGTCACGACGATTGACGACGATGGAGGGAGACGAAGATTGCGGTGGCGGGATCGAGCATTTGCACGTGCAGCGGCCATTTACTTTTCAGAAAGCAAAGTCGAGTAATTACTGTACGTAAAGCGGCTTAAGGTACGTACCTACCTAGGTACGTACTGTGTTCAAGGTACAGGTAGGTACTTACATTAGGTATAATTATCAAACTTTTCCGATGGATCGGTCCAGGCCCAAGGTGGAGCGCCCGGACTACAAGAGTGGACCTTTGGCGCGACCCACGGTCGGTGCTGGATGCTTGTACTGTACATGCTCTGTGCCCGTTCACGACGACTTGCTTGGAAGCTCCTTCTTCGCGGCGAGAGACTAATCAAGTTGGAAGCGCCATCCCCTTTTCGTCGGCAGCGCTCGTTTTGCCTGCAAGCCTGCATGCTGCTATCCCGACCTGCCTCCGACCTGCCTCCGACCTGGGCTTGCCTTGTGTGGTGCTGGCCGAGGAAACCCAGGAATTTCAGCCAGGAAGACGGCGGTCCAACACAGGCTCGTACCGTATCACAACTACCATACTCGAGCGCCAGTCATGCGGACATAGTGTACCTACTGTACAACGCTGGCAGGTCCTGTGGGTGGCAAGTCAAGTCAGTGCATATGCAGCAACATCCCAAGTCATCCTCCACAGCATACGTGGGCTTGCATTTGGCCAAGCACGGCGAGTTCGCTTACGCATGACGCTGCCATGCTCGAGGCCCAGTGTCGTCTTCCCGGAGGCGACTTATTGCCCCGGAGCAAAGCCTCTCGGACAGCTCGTTCGGAGGGGCCGTTGTTGGTCGAGCCCGACAGTTCCATTTCCGTTGCTCTGGAGCTCACAGCAGCTGTGACGGGCGCTGGCCTTGTTTGACCCGTTGCCGGCTGGTGTGGCAGCACCCCGGTGCTCTTCCAGTGGACGCTGGCACGGGCTCTAATCGCGGTTTCTTGCGTCCCGCTCTATAGGAGCGCGTCCCTCGGCACTGGCACTTTGCTCCAACGACCAGTTACATACAGAAGAAGCATGCCAGATCAAGCAGTTCGAACGTCGTCCTGGGCCGTGCCCGCATCCCCCGCCTCACGCCGGAGACCCCCTCCCAGCTCTGCCGAGAGAATGGCGAATGCGCAATCCCTGTCTCGGCCCCCATGCCGATGCCACCCTCGAGACGCACAAGCACCTTCGTGGCCTCCCATTGGTCGCATACGCATCTCTAGGCGCCAATCGCTCAACCCACGCATTGCCCGGCGCTTAGAGATGCCGCCGCCCGGCGCTTCTCATTGGCGTCGACTGCGGTGACGTTTCCCGCCATGGCTCCCATCACAGCCGCCCACGCTCCGCACGTTCCTGCACCTTTAAACGCCATCCCTCGCCCTCAGCTGTGCTGGCTGTCTCCGAGACCTCATCCTTGATCTTCAAGCGGAGAGTCGGACACGAAGCGCCTAACCTATTAAGAAACTCGTGACCAGGACGACGACGACGGTGCTCGGCAAATGTGGTCAGCCATCTTGCCACGGCTTTAGACAGTCGACGACTCGCGGCCCACGAACCCGAACGCACAACTGCGAATGTTGGCGGCCTGCTACAAAGTCCTCTCTGCAGTCGCCCAGAGCTCTCGGCCAGCAGGCTCGACGTGAGACACACGATCCGATAGAACCGTCCCCCTCCGGCCGGCGACGGCCAACGACGCCCAGAATGAAGCTTTTGCTCGGTAGGAACCGGACCTACCGGGTCATACCTCGGACATGGCCCCGAACGCACAAACGGACTCTTGGCTGGCTGATGCCCGTTGAGCTCCTCGTCCTGGTGCCCATCCTTGTCATCTTCGGCATCGCGCAGCCCGACATGTACCGCACCGACATGTGGCGCATTGGTTTCGAGAACAAGCTCAATTCAAACCCTGACATGGTCTTATATGCCTATGCCAACTACCGAGCCCTGCCCAATGTCCCATTCATCTGGTCGCTGGCGTGAGTCTTTTGACACAGCCGGCAGACGGTCCATGCTAACGACGAAGCAGCCTCACCAATTTCAACGTCGCCATCTCAATCATCTCCCTCTTCTTCCTCCTGGTCAGGCTCATCTGCTACATCATGAGGGTGTGGTATCCCATCTTGGCCGTCGTCGTCAGCATCACGCTGGTGACGCTCTACACGGTCAGCGTCTACGGGCAGATTGGCCCCGACTATGCCGACTCTCGCTACCCGGCTCCGGCGGCATGGTACTTTCGGCAGGGTTGTGGCCTTGCCAAGCGCTATGGCAAATATAATTCTTGTCAGGTAGCCCAGAGCTCGCTCGGGGTCACGCTGCTCATGCTGTGAGTCACGACCGCCGACCTCTCGCATTTCGATTGACAGTCTAACGCGTCATGTCAGAATTGTATGTCTGGTCAACCTGGGCGTTGCGCTGCACGCAATGTGGCCCAACAAGGAGAATGACCAGAAGAACGACGAAGACGAAGAGTCGACCTCGCCCTTGTCCAAGGAGGGGAGCAACTGGGAGATGCATAGCATGAAGTCGCCCGCCGGTTTAAACGCTATGCCGTACACGCCGCGGACGCAGGCATTTTATACTCTTGACCGACAGATGCCTCAACGACAGCCCCATCAGGCGTATGCGTGAGGGGACTGGATCTATGGGAGACAGTCCTGAAAAGAGGATCATAATGAGAGAAGTCTGGAGAAATGTTCCAGAACGGAATATATGTGGATATGGGTTACCATGGCGAAGTTGTTTAGCGTATCGCGTTGGAAATGGACATTTATTGCAAAAATGCCCCAGCTGCATTGGGCATGTCCGGCTTCATTTGTACCGAGTGGTGTGTCGTTGCGGACATTGCCACGTTGTGTCTTGCGTGCATTTAATGGATCATGATAGCTGGCATCCCACAGCATGGGCACGGCCAAACCGCGTGTTGCAAGCTGCGACGAGACAAGCTCGCAAGCTCCCCCGCCTTTCGGTACCTCCCCCCACCAGAGCCCGCGGAGAGCGGCCGACGTGCCCCGTGTCTCGAGTCGACGTCATGCTTGATGAACCTTTGCCCCAGATACTTTGCAGCGGCCCCCAGCGAGGGCACAGTGGGCTGTAACTGCCCAGTCCCTGTACTTTGTAAGCCTTCCCCCGCAGGACAACCTCCTCGGCACTGGGAGCGAGAGGCCGCACTTCTCCTCTCCTCCGCCTCTCCTCCGCCTCTCCTCCGCTCTTCCGCCCATTCCTTCTGGCACGACCCCTAGGATCACACATGGCGCTGCTGAACAAAGTCGGAGCCCCATTGCGCTGCTTTGCCGGCACATCGCTGGGGTTGGTCCGAAGCGCTTCCACCATGGCACCCAAGGTACGGCGAGCTGCTCTCGACGCGAACAACCCGAAGTTGACTGAGGCGGTCGCAGCTCAACGACCCGTCACTGCTCAAGCTCGACGTCTGCTTCATCAATGGGCAATGGAGGCCCGCCAAGTCGGGAAAGACGTTCAAGGTCAATGGTCTGTTTTCCGCGTCGACGTCAAGCGCGCCTGATCAAGGCTGACACCGCAATGCCGACGAGGCAAAACCACACCAACCACAGACCCGTCCACCGGAAATCTCATTGGCACCTGCGCCGAATGCGATGCCCAAGATACCAAGTCAGCCATCCGCGCCGCCGCCGACGCCTTCACCAGCTTTCGCACGACGACGGGCCGCGAGCGGTCCAAGCTGCTGCGCAAGTGGTACGACCTCGTCACCGCCAACGCCGACGACATTGCCAAGCTCATCACCTGGGAGAACGGCAAGCCGTTTGCCGATGCAAAGGGCGAGGTCGCCTATGCCGCCAACTTCTTCGAGTGGTTCAGCGAGGAGGCGCCGCGGGCCTACGGCGACGTCATCCCCGCCACGGTGCCGGGTAACCGGGTGTGGACGTTTAAGGAGCCGGTGGGCGTTTGCGGGCTCATCACTCCGTGAGAACTCTTGTCCCTCTAGGGCTCCCGAGTACCTTATATAACCGTGAGCTGACGGAACCATGAACATGTAGATGGAACTTTCCCGCCGCCATGATCACGAGGAAAATTGGGCCTGCGCTCGCCGCCGGCTGCACCGTCGTCTGCAAGGCTCCAGGAGAGACGCCCATGACGGTGCTGGCCCTCGCCGAGCTCGCCCACCGCGCCGGCATTCCGCAGGGCGTCGTCAACGTCGTCACCACCCTGTCCAACACGGCAGATGTCGGTGAGGTGCTCACCACCGATGCCACGGTCAAAAAGGTCTCGTTTACCGGTTCCACTGGCGTCGGCAAGCTCCTCATGAGGCAGTCGTCCGGGACGCTGAAGAAGCTGTCCATGGAGCTCGGCGGCAACGCCCCCCTGATTGTCTTTGACGACGCCGACATGGACGTGGCCGTGGCGGGCGCCGTCGCCTCCAAGTTTCGCTCGTCGGGCCAGACGTGCGTCTGCGCCAACCGCATCTACGTCCAGGCCGGCATCTACGACGAGTTTGTCGCCAAGTTTGCCGAAAAGGTCTCGGCCTTCAAGGTCGGCAACGGCTTCGACGAGAGCACCACCCACGGTCCGCTCATCCATGACCGCGCCGTGTCCAAGGTCATGGCCCACATCAAAGACGCCCAGAGCAAGGGCGGCAAGCTCCTGGTGGGCGGCCAGGCGATGCCCGATCTTGGCGCCAACTTTATGCAGCCCACCGTGATTCGCGATGCGACGCCCGAGATGGCCATTGCCACCGAGGAGACGTTTGGGCCTGTGGCGGCGCTCTTCCCCTTCAAGACGGAGGCCGAGGTTGTGGAAATGGCCAACCGCACCGAGGTCGGCCTCGCAGGGTACTTTTTCTCACGCGACCTACACCGCGTACACCGCGTGGCCGAGGCCCTCGAGGTGGGCATGATTGGCGTCAACACGGGCATCATCTCGGATACAGCCGCGCCGTTCGGCGGCGTCAAGGAGAGCGGCTTCGGCAGGGAGGGATCCAAGTATGGCCTGGCCGAGTATCAGAACATCAAGACAATCACCTACGGCGGCATGGGCCAGCCGCTGCAGAGCTGAAGGCCTGGGGAGCTTCTCTCCCGATGTGGATGGGAGACGAGGGAGAACGTTGTGGATCGGCGGATCAGAGAGATTAATGGAAAATGAACTCACATGCCACCCGTGGCTTCATTGTCATTTTCGAACTTGACCACGGCCTGGGTGCACAGGCAGGGCTGACTTGAGTGTACATATGTGTTGACTAGAAGTATAAGAGAGCCAGTCTGCGTGCCTTGCTAGGTACGGTATGTTATTACCAACTCTCTCGGGATCCTCGATCCAGAACCCTTCCCCTCGGAAGGCATGCCTGTAGCAGTCTCCCATGGGGAAGTGATAGTCTCGAGTCGCGTACGCCCGACACGAAACTCTGCCGCCTGGGATCGACGACTCGATCTACTCGACCTACTCGATCCCAAGGTGGTGATTCCTGGGCAAGAACGTGTGCTGATTGGCAACTTGCCGTTCGAACGAGGAAATCTACGGACACATGTTGTCTGTCCTGGCCAAAAGAATATATATATAATAATGAACGAAGAATCTACATGTGTCTGGTCGCATAGCTCAGAGGCAGAGCGTCTGCTTTACACGCAGCCGGTCGCAGGTTCGATCCCTGCTGCGATCATTTTTGCGTCGTCACATTAATTGGGCTCCACTTTTCTTTTTACCAGAGAGGCCAGCACCATCCACCAGATAACGGGCCGTCGGTATCTATCTATCTTATCGGGGATACCTATCGGATAACCGCCCGCCCGACGTCTCACCGTGTGTGCAGGACTCTTTTCTTCGACAGCGGGCAGGAGTGCAGCCGGAGAACGAGAAAAAAGAATTGCCCAAATATAGATTCCGGCCATGGTGCTTCCGTGCCCGACTGAGCTGCCGCGACGGGGCTTGCGTCTCTTGTTGTTCCGAGGAGGGTAGGTTTTCCTGTTCCCTCTTCTCTTGCCTTTTTCCACCTCGGAGAGAGACGCACGGAGAGACAGAGAGGCGTCGTCCCCAGATCGGAGCTCACTGTGACTGACTCGGTGACTTCAGCGCCCACCGCCTCCATGAGCCGTCGCGGTTAGCTGTCCCCATCGCCCGGCCATGGCCAATCATCGCCGCCGCCGCGCCGTCGTCGACCGCCCGCCCCTTTAGCAGCTCCGCGCCGCTCCTCAAGAAGCGCAAGATTGCCGTCCCGGCAAACAGCCCTCCGCGCCCTTCTTCCGCGCCGCCTCCCCGCTCGTCGTCGTCGTCGTCGTCGTCGTCGTCGTCGTCGACAGAGCCCAGCCCCGAGGACCCGCTCGACCTGTCGCCGCTCCTGGCCGCCTACGAGCCCACCGACGCACACTTCAAGTCGCAGCTGCACTCCATCCTCAACGGCGGACGCTTCGACCCATCCAGCCTCGGCGCCCTACCCGTGCTCGTCAAGCCCGAGCCGGGACCCCCCGCCACCACCATCAGCGGCGCCGACGACGACGCCGACGCGCCCAAATCCTTCCCGCTGCGCGAGCTGGCGCAGGTCGTCCCGCGCTCCGGCCGCGCCATCTCGCTCCTCGTCAATGACCGCGTCTACATCAAGCCCATCATGTCGGCCGTCCAGGCCTCGCCCGACTTCAACCAGCAGCCCCAGCGCTCGCCCGACAACGACCTCGAGCTGCTGCTGCGCGTCGAGCTCGACCGCCGCGAGGACCTGGTCCGCCGTGTCAAGGCCGTCGCCCAGGGCTGGCGCGACGGCATCCGCCACGACCGCACCCGCCACGACAAGCTGCTCAAGGAGTGGCGCAGGACCGGCGCCGTCCTGCCCGACGTCGGAAGGAGGGCCGAGAAGGAGGTGCAGAAGCTGCAGGACAAGAAGATGAAGGAGATTGACGCTGAGGAGGTGCGCGCCCTGAGACAGCTGGACCGCAAATGAAACGAGCGCCCCCTCTGGACGCTGCCAGCATGCGCGAGACCAATGGCGAGAAATGGAGTGCGCGGAGCCGCTGGTCAAGCAGCCATCATCAAAGCGCCGGCGAAAATCTTGGCGCAAAAACGTACTAAATCTTATACTATTATACATGGCATGGCATGCAAGTCGACGCCCCCTTTGACTTGGCCACGCGGCCCCTCTTCCGTCCCATCGTGTAACTCTCAGGTCGTGTGCCGTTTACGCAGCCCGGGCATTCCGTCCCGCCCCCTGGGGCGCGCCCGCCTTGCCCGCCTTGCTCAGCAGCGACTGGAGCTTCTTCTCAAACTGGTCCACGTCGTTCTGGGAGTACGTCTCGGCCCGCAGGTGCCACGAGCGGGCCAGGCCGATAGGATCCGTCGCATACTGAGGTGCTTCGTGTTGGCCCACGATGGCCCTGTCCACAATGACCTGCCTGACCGTCTCGTCGGCGGGCTGGATGATGCGTTCCTCGCTGCTGCTGATGCCGCTGGCGGCTACGTCTCCTCCCTCCTTGGCGGCGGCGGCGGCGGCCTCGTCCCGCCGCTTCTGCTGCAAAAACGCCTCCGCCTCCTCTCTAGCGTTGGCATCAGCAAAGAACCGCACGCCGCTCGCCTCGAGGTCCTGTGCATAGCTGCGTGCCTGCAGGTCTAGGGGTGCGCCGATGGGGTCGGCCGGGCCCAAGAGGCTGAGGTTCTGCAGCGCCGCGGCGGCGCACCCGGCCGGCGTGGACGGGGTCGCGGGCATAAACTCGGCGAGTGACTCGAGCGTGAGCGAGGGGTTGTATCGCGTCCGCGTCCCGAACCGCATTGCGTCGTCGAAATCCTTCTCGGCCGGATCCACCGCGTCGAAGCCGTCCCCTCGCCGGTTCGCCTGGTCCTCCTTGCCGCCCTCTTCATCGCCATCGCGTCGCCTGCCCCCTCGAGCCGCCCCCCGACCACCCCGCATGCCCCGGCCGCCGCGCCCTCCACGCCCTCCACGTCCTCCGCGGAAGGCAGACCCTCGAGCCGGTCCAGCGAATCGACTCCCCGGGGCGAGCGATATCCCCCCTCGTCCGCGGAAGTCTCCTCGCCCGCGAAGCCCCCCCCGGGGAAGGCTCCTCACATCAATAACCTTGCGTGGACCCCCCAATGCCTGCTCGGGAGACGGCTGAGGACGCTGCATTGGCAATGACGGCGTGGAAGCCCTGTTGTTGTTGCTGTTCAAGATGGAAGAAATTTCGCTCACGGCAGCGCGAGACCGCTGGCGAAGGGACCGCTTTGGAGCATCATTCGGTGCGTCGCCCTCTGCGGCGAGCCATTGACCGGTGGAAAAGTAGTTTGCCGGCACAGGGCTAGGCCTCTGGAGCTCCGGCCTTGCCCGAGTGCACACTGAGCGCAAGACCTGCCGATTCATGTTTGTTTGCCCGCCGTGATGCCAGCAGCTTGTTTCGCGCCGACCGATTGCACACGGCACTAGTTTTCTCGCTGCGGGTGGCCATGACTAAGCTTCTCACTATCCCCGCTGGCCTCACGTTTGGACGTGATATGCTCCTTCGGAAGATACCAATACTATCATTATTGACTCGAGGCGTTTTGTGTCATCGGCGGATTCTGAAATCGTTACTCCAAACTCCCCGGCTGGCCGCAATACGTGAATTGGCCGAGTTGGTCCTTCAACTCCGCCTCCACCGACCAACCTCCACCACGAGGCCAGATCCAGATGCGCATCACGGGTAATGTACAACAACGTACTGCATCGCCGCTTCCCCTTGCCCCGCCAAAGCATACACCTCGCTCGTCAGTTCATCGCAGAATCCTCTCCATTTCTCGCAGCATCCCTCGCCCCTCCCATTTGCGCTCCATCGAGCTGCGCTGCCAGCGCTGGCCAGAGGGGTTTGTTGTGGCAAGCTATCGAGGTCCTCCCCCGTTCGGTCAGAGCGGCTTTTGCACCGGCGCACGGCCATCTCTGGCCTTGCCACAGAATGTGGCGTCTTGCCGTCGGAACTGAGGTGGCGCAAGAAGCGTCGTGTGCCGGCAGCCCGGATTTCATCCCGTGCAACAGTATACTCGAAAGCTCCCGGGAGATTTGTTCTTCTCCTCCTGCCACTCATCCGATGGCACGCTCTGAAGCACATCAGGCCTGACGATGCTGGACATCGTGGTCGTCCTCGTGGTCGTGTGTCCCGATCTGGTCGGCCCGAAAAATAATTCCGTACATTTACTCATTTCAAGTGATTACCGGGGGATCTTGTGGCGTCTCGTGTACTCCGTCTCCCATCCGTCCCCCGGCGTGATTAGACACTCTGGGGTTGCACGCTTGCCGGCTGCGCATTTGGTTAGTCTTGGCGACTGGGTGATGCGGGAGAAGAGGGGGGCGGCTCACAGGGCTGTTCAGCATCTGCTGCCGCTTGTTGCGCCCTTTCTTGATGTGGCTCTTCAGAGCGCTCGAGTCGAGTGGTTTCAGGAGCTCGAAGCTGCAGAGCAACTCAGATGACACCGACATGACGGCGCCCCAGTTGTCGAATTCCCCACAGTACTTCTCACGACGTCAGAATCACCTGCGAGTGAGGGAGAGGGAGAGAGCAGACAGAAGAATACTCACGTTGGGCGCGCTAAACACTGTGACCAAGACTCGGTCATTGAAGAACTCGTAGCCGTCCTCGACAACCATGTGCGCCCGGCAAATGAGGTCAAAGTCATGGACGGCCAGAAAGTCGGTAATGACTCGTTTGCCAAAACAATAGCTCACGCCCCTCTCGTTGGCTTCCCAATCCTGCTCCATGTCCGCGGGGTCCGACCAGAGCAAATCGTTCAGCAGCCCGTAGTCGGGAACGTCAGTTGGGCGCGCGATGTTTCGAATGTCGTCCATGTGGCTCAGGGCCGGCGACAGGCCGCCGTGGACACAGAAAATCTTGCCGGCCACGATGGCGGCAATGGGCAGCGTGTTGAAGCAATCGATGAACGTCTTCCAGATCTTGACGTTGCACCGTCGCTTGCACTCGTCGTAGAAGCCGTAGACTCTGGTGACGTTGGCGCATTCGTGGTTGCCACGGAGGAGGAAAAAGTTTTCGGGAAACTTGAGCTTGTAGCAGAGGAGTAGTAGGATGGTCTCGAGCGATTGCTTCCCTCGATCGACATAGTCTCCGAGGAAGAGGTAGTTGGCCATGGGGGGAAAGCCGCACATTTCGAACATGCGAATCAAATCAGTGTACTGCCCGTGGACGTCGCCCACAACCTTGACGGGCGCGTCCAGCTCCAAGAGCGCCGGCTGCGAGAGCAAGACCTCGCGGGCACGCTGGCAGATGGCCACAATCTCGGCGTTCTTGAGGCACACGCTCTTGGTCACTTTGCCAGCATACCCCGCATCAAGCAGGCGCTTGATGAAATCGTCGAGATCAATGTCTTTGATTTCCGCCATGGCGACGTTCCCATTCGCCTCGCCCTTGCCGGTGGAGTCCGTTGAAGGTCTCTTATGCACCAGGTTTGTAGTGTTCTCCCGCTTCATCAAAATCGACTGGCCGGGGGGCTGCATGTGGGTGTGGATGCTGGCGTTGGCCGAGGGCGGCTGGTCGGAGACGTGGTCGACCTCGCCAGAGGCTTGTGCAGCACTCACGTCATGATTGCCACCCTTGAGAGCGCTGGATGACACGGGCGAGGGCGGGGGTTGGTTCTCGAAAATGGCGGAATCGCTGTGGGATAGGTCGGTAGAGTTGTGCTTGAGCGGGGGCAGATCGCTGCGACTGGCTCGAGATATGCTCGAGCGGGCACTTCGTCCTGACCGTACAGAGGCGCCGTCGAGGGCCTTGTCGGCGGGGGAGTCATTGCTCGATAAGATCGCGGAATTCCTGGGGCTGTCGGTCTTGCCGCTGCCGGGGATCTTGGACCGCAGCGAGCGGAAAGACCGCGACGATTCCTTGGTGTCGGACCTGCTAAAGGAGGGGTACGATTGGAAAGGTCCTTCGCCGGAGGAGCCGCCACCCTCCTTGGAGGCTTGGTTGCCCATGTCAAGTATCGAAAACGCTCTGCAAGTTCTTCACGGGCGGGCGAATGTCTCAAGTGTCGCGTGGGTGCAGGGGGGAGAGAGGAGATAGCCTATTCGCCGTGCTTGGCCGGCCGGCGGTGGAATGGTTACGGAGGGCGCGTCAGGCGTGGCCGAGGCAAGCCAGTCGATGTCGTCGAGTGCCCGGCAATGGCGGCGACGGCAGGGAGAGCGGTAACAAATTGCGGCGCGCCGCCGAGGGCAGCTCTAGGGCGGGTGGAAGAGGCGACCGAGGACGGAGAAGAGGGCGGAGCGACGAACCCTTGAAGCGTCCGTCTTGGTCGTTTTAGGCGAGGGCAAAAAAGAAGGTAGAGGAATGCAAGGCTTTTGTCGGCGATGACGTCGTAGGGTCTCGGAGCGCTGGGTCGGACTCGGCAAGCAGTTGGGGCCAAACGAGGGTCGGCGATACGGATTAAACCGGAGGCGCTCGACGCGGGAGAGGAGCGGTAGCCGAATGTATGGTATTGCTGCAACAAAAGTCGTCGTCGTCGTCTTTGGTCGTCAGAAAGGCGTCGAGCGGGCGGGGCGGTGACGCGAGAAGGATGAGACGATGGTGAGTGCAGAGGCGAATGGATGGAGGAGGGAAGAGAAAAGGGAAGGCAGCGGAGAGAGGATGGATAAGCAAGGATGGGGGCAAAAGGTGTATGTACCTGCAGATCCGGAGACGGTCTGTGACTCTGCAAGAAGGGCGCCAAGAAATGAGATGGAGAGCTGCAGTTGGCGGCTCGTCGACGTGTCTCGTGCCTTGCAACAAGGAGCTTGTTGTGCCCGACGACGTAGGGTGCGTTATGGCGATGTTTTGGCCAGGCCCCTTTGCGGCAGCCAGAGGAGGGGCTGATACGGCGGATTGTTGGTCGTGGCGAGGCTAAGAGCCACCATCACTTATCGCGGCACTTGGCGCTGCTCGAGAACGGCAGCACCAATCAGCTTCTGCACGAGAGCCCCAGGGTGAGCTGCTTGTACAGGTTTACTAAGGCAGGGTGCACAGTATGCCTGTAGGTGTCGTGTGGACGCTTGCGGTGGAGAGCAAGAGGGGGAACGGAGCAGGCAGAGAGGCTTCTGGAAGAGATGTCAAGCACAGCACTCGGAGTCTGAGGCAATCAAGGCAGCCAAGCACTAAAAGCGACCCAAAACCCCTTGCGTGACGGATGTGACGGCCGGAGCGGACCTTTGGCAGGCAGGCAGGGCGCTCCACCGTGCCGGTCCGCGTTTGGCCTGCACTGTACGGATGTACTAGACTTTGGATGCTTTGGTACTTGCAGCACGGGTGAGCGTTCCCGGCACTGAAGTCGACGCCTGAGGTATCTGCTTTGGTACCCTATCTGCAGACTGGCCCACCGAGACCGATGCAGCTGGCAGCGCGGGCCCCGGTGCGTCGCAAAACAGGCACTGGGCAAGGTACCTCTGTCTAGAACCTTCACAATAGCTGTACAGGGTACTTTGTAGACAGCTGAGATGGCCGTACTTGGGGCCGAGTCCTGCTAGGCTGGGCGTTGTCGGGACCTTGAGAGTAGGGGGGGTTGGCTGTTGGTACATACAGTGTGAAAGAAGGAGGTACTAGGCATCTGCAACTCTAAACATAGAAAGAGGTGGAATGAGTCTCCCGATTTCCCTCGTAGCCTCGTGCCTGGCCGCCCGCGCTTGCCATCCCCATCCTCTCCTCTGGCGGCGGCTGCAAGCTGCACGCTCTTCCGCTCAGATCGGTGTCGGCACGGTACCCAAGATCCGAGTGCCATCTATATCACCCTACCTAGGTACGTAGGCAACCTCAATGTCACATCACGATGTGTGATAACTGAGCAGCAGCAGCAGCAGCAGCAGCAGCAGCAGGCAGGGTGGTATCGGGCCGCGAGGATGCCCGTTGATGAGGCACTTGTCCATCTGCCTCACCCGGCGTGTGCTCCCGCGACAAGCGTCGACACGACTCACCCAAGAATAATTCAGTATCGAGACAAGACGGCGGATGGACCCACAAGGCGCTCTTCTGACGAAACAAACCCACCGGTGCCCAACTAGGAGCGGGACGCGGTCGCACCGCACGTCAAGTCAATGTCGCAGGGACTGCCGGTTGCGGATCGCTCTGTGTGTCTCTTGCTCTCGTTTTGTCGCAACAGAGTGAATATTCGGTTTGTCGGCACCTTGCCAAAGACATGACCCGGAAAAGGACCGGGTTGAACAGTTTCTGCGGTGGCCACGCCGAGCGAAACACTGGTGCTCTTGATTTTCGCACTCCGTTTATGCAACGCCGGGCTGGCTGCTCCAGTGGCCCAGGCTTCCCCTGGGAGCGACGATATGCAGGAGGGCAAGAGGGCCCTCTGTGATGTCACAGTCCAGATGCACAAACCCCTCTGCCCTACCACGAGGATGCACGGGAGAGAGGGCAAGGTGATACGGCTCTGAAGGACAGCGCCGCGGACCGGGACAGCCCAGCTGCGGATTACATCTGAGACACCTGCCGCCCACAATGAGAACCCCCGAGGAACCCACGATGCAAGCGACGGCGTTCGTCAAGAGTCTACGGAGAACGGAGTAGCATCATGCAAAAATGGGTTGACAAGCCAATCTGATAAAACGCGTCAAGTTCAATCAATTAATGTGGCGCGGGCGATGGCTGGTGCTTGGCACCCTGCGGCTCACCAAAACCGTTCCGGATGCGCAAGCGACAGCTGTGTCGGTGAAACGCTTCGACAGATTCGGCTCCCACCCAACCTTCTTGGCTGTCCGGGGTGTGGCCAGGGCTTCTAAAATTAGGCGGGCGCACCACAGGACCCCGACTAGCGGACAGAGGCTGTGACGCTTGAACCCAGTGGAAGGCTGAGCGAAGACACAGTCGATGGGCCTGCTTACATCCGAGACCCGTCGTCAGCGTCCTTGCCATGAGGAATCCGGCAAGAAATTGCTCTCCAAGGCGCAGCCCCAAGGCGTCTAGCGCCCGCGTGCGTATGCAATGCGCTCGCTCAGTCGCAGGTCCGGGCAGACACGGACGACGGGCGGCAGCGACACGATGGATTGCGCCCTTTGTTTTGCAGATCCAGGACCATGCGGATGGATACCTACGTCAGGCGTCGTCAGCAGTGGGCTGCCGTGCGACCTGTATGTTGGTTGCTTGCACCCTGGAGCCAACGGAAGAGCGCTCGCTCGACAGCTTTGCCTCAAAGGGGAAACACGAACCGCATGACATGGCGAGACACTTGCGCTCACACCCTCAGCTGTCTGGCCCAAGACACATCCTTGCCGGTCCAGAACAAGGGAAAAACACGAGAGGCGAGGCATGAGTAACGGCAGTTTGGGAGGGGTTTTGGATATCTGCCTGGTCTCCCGGCCGACCCCACCACCCCCCGTCAGCCCCCCGCCAAGCGGCAGCGGTTTATGCTGCGCCCAACGGCGTCGTCCACACGCCCAGGGGCTTCGCCACAAGGTCTGCGAACGCGCAACTCCCTACTTAACTCAAGGCGATGCCTGGTGCTGCTTTTCGTTTCCTTCACCTTTGTTTGCATCCACGTCCCCGCCTCTGGCCATCTGTCATCTTCTGCTTTGCAGCTTCAAACTACAGCTGCTAGACGCCGACCAAAGGACCGCTCCGACACGAGTCGATTCACGTCGCCCGAGCACTCCCGTCAAAGCGAAATCCCCCGGCAGCATCTGCCATCATGGGCGTCGGCCGCTTCTTCTGTGTCGGCCTCCCGCTCGTCCTCACCATCGCCTCCATCATTGCTCTTCTCGTCGCAACCCTCTCGGGTGTCACCCACAACAGCTTATACATCTTCCGCGTCAACATCTCCGATCTGTCCGTCAACCCGAGTACCCTAGGCAACCTCGACGGCCTGATAAGCAATCTCAAACTCAACGGCCGCGCCGACCTGCCAACCGGCAACATCACAGCCGGAAACCTCGGACTCAACGAGGCCTTCGACGTGACCCTCTGGGGCTTCTGCACCACCTCTCAGGATGGCAAGCGGGAGTGCACCAAGGCTCAGTTTGACTGGGCCTCCCAGGAGCTGAACACGACTTGGATCGAAAATCTCGGTACCGTGGCTGGGGTCAAGGTCAAACTGCCCACCGAGGTTCAGGATGGTCTCAACGCCTTCCGCACCCTCGTCAAGTGGACCGAAGTCGCCTTTATCGTTGCCCTCATCGCCCTCGGCGTTGAGCTCGTTGTCGGCGTCTTCTCCAACTTCTCGCGTGTCGTGTCGTGCCTGACCTGGCTCACGGCCGGCATCGCCGCCCTTCTCGTCGGTATCGCCGCTGGACTTGCCACTGCCATGGGCACCATCGTCATCGGCACCTTCGAAGCCGCCGCCCGGTCCTACGGCGTCAGGGGAGACGTCGGCGGCAGGTTTCTTGCCGCCGCCTGGATCGCCTTTGCCTTTGCCCTCGGCGCCGCCTTCTTCTGGCTCTTTACCATCTGCTGCTGCAAGCCCGAGCACCGCAGCCGCAGTGGCTTCCGCGGCACCAACAACAACCGTCACAGCAACGACGGCGAGAAGCTGATACCGGCGAGGGGCTACGCGCCACTGGGCAACGAGAGCCACATGAGCGGCGCATACGGCGACGCCAACCAGCAGAGCCAGCTCAACCAGCCCTACTCGTCGCAGCCCCCCCGCTACCCCGGCGGAACCGGGCGGACGGACCTGGCCTATGAGCCTTATTCACACCGGGCCTAGACACGGACGAGTTAAGCGATTGCTGCGTTTTTATTCACTTTTCCAACATTCCTTTATTCACATTGGGCCGAAATAACGAGGGACGGTCACGATGAACACTGCATTTATCGGCGTTAATGACGGGACATTTATAGCCACGGATGGATGGGCCTGGGGTTACAGCTCTTGGGAGAGCCAGTCGAGCCACTACTGCTAGAGAGGCGTGGCTGCCACGAGGCACGGGTGCGATGATAAGGACACGAGATGGCACTTGTCTCTTGAGGGACGATACCACACAATGAATTAAATATATTCCATGATGCCATTGCATATCTGACTCGAAGTGTGAATCTTGTGGTGCTGAAGCGGGTTGGTTGGTTGCGCACAAATGTGCCCTGTGGCACCGTACCCATAGTGGGGTATCAGCTGGGAACTCCCCAAGGGGAAAAAGTCGCCTCACCTTTTTGCTGAGACACCTCGAACGGCATCCCTCACTTACACGCCTCACCACCACCACCACCGGTCGTCTTGCACATCTCAGCGCTCCAAGAGGTGGGCTGGCTTTTTTTTTTTTTTTTTGCGTGGCCGCACAAGTCCAGCTTCCAGTGCCGCCGTCGCTTGCCCCTCCCCCTTCTTGCGCAGAGACGCAAAAGCGCTGCCCTCGCCTCGTGCTACCAGACGAGGAGAAGGGAAAATGAGCTGCACGACAGAGGAGGAAGCGGCCCGGGCGAAGCGCGGTGGGCACCCCGTGTGCGCAGGGCGGCGGCTGCCGCTGCGGAGGCAGCTGTCGCAGGTGCCCATCACGGCGCTGGGCTTCCTCTACGTGGCGGCGACGGCGGACGTCTTCGTCCTGGCGGGGGAGGATGCGCGGCTGCTCGTGTACCGGGCGGCGGCGGCGGGCGGTTTGGCCGACGTGGGAGATGAGCTCGTGTGGACAGTGGCCGTCTTCCGGGACCAGGACCAGGACCAGGACCAGGACCAGCCGATACACGGCCTGCGGGTGTGGCAACGCGACGGACGCGCGCGGGCCCTGGTCTGGGGCGCCTCGTCCGTCGCCGTCGTCGACTTGGATGGCGTCGACGGCGGCAGGGAGCCGCGGGTGCTGGGCGCGGCCACGGCCCCGGACTGGATCTACGACGGCGCCGTCTCGCCGTGGGACCCGGACCGCGCCGCCCTCGTCACCGCGCACAACGACATCATCCCCCTGACGTGCGGCGGCGCCTCGGACGGCCTGGAGCTCGGCGCGGCCACGACGTCGCCCTCGCGGCCCATGCTCTACTCGGCCCAGCTGGCCTGGCTCTCCCCGTCGTGCATCCTCGTCGCTGCGGGGACCGTCTTTGGCGACGTCGTCGTGTGGAAGTGCGACCTAGCCGCCGCCGCGCACACGACGATATGCCGCTTGTCGGGCCACGAGGGTTCCGTCTACGGCGTCGACATTTCCCCCGCCCTGACTCTCCCGGACGGGACGACGATGCGCCTCCTCGCCAGCTGCAGCGACGACCGGACCATTCGCATCTGGGACGTCTCCGATGCGGAAACGAGCGGGCCTACCTCGGCGCAGCCCTCCGCGACAACCGAGACGACGGGTTTCAGGTCGTCTTCGCCAAGCTGTGACGACGGGGCCGCCGACCGACTCGTTGCTGTTGCCATGGGTCACCTCTCGCGCATATGGGGCGTTAAACTGGGCCTCGCGGAGCCGGCCACGCTGCCGGACGGCACGCTGTGCGTCTACTCGTTCGGCGAGGACGCGACGGCTCAGCGCTGGCGCCTGTCGCTCCATCCAAGGAGGAACGGGGGAGACGGGGCCTTGGCCGGGCTGGCGCACGAGCAGGCCATGTCGCTGCACAACGGCAAGCATCTGTGGGCCGGCGCCGTGCTCTGCCGTCCCGGAACCACGACGCTGCTCGCCACGGGCGGGGGGGACGGCAAGATCTGCCTAGTGCGAGAGCCCATGACGCCGGTGCGGCCGTATCCCAAGCACGCGAGCTCAGTCTCCCGGGACGGCGTGGTGACCGTCGACGTACAAGACATTCTCGCGTCTCTGCCACGTCCGCCCCCCTCGCGCAGCGGCCGCGATATCATAAACAGGTACGACTTTTTGTCCGCGGACCAAATCCTCGTCAGCACCACGCTCGGCCGTCTTTTCGTGGGCTCGCTCATCGACGGCCTAGCTTGGGAAGAGATCGAGGTGGATGACGACGTTGCTGGCGACGTGGGACTTACCTACGCCCTCAGGGCCGTTGGCAACGGGGCTGCTGTTCTCGGCACCACAAATGGCCACATACTCTACTTCCAGCGCCCTCGCCGCCTCTCCCGCGTCGTCAAGGTCCCCGGAAAGGTGGTCGACGTGGGTTGCGTCTCGGCGGCGCCCGGCCGGGGCGCCGTGGATACGTCTTGGGTCGAGATCATGGTCCATCTCCATGGTAATCCGAGCTCGCAATATCTCACCCTCGACGCACCGACGGGTCGCGTCCTGCGCCACGAGCACACGGCCGGCCTTGACGCCAGGTTCGTCGCCATCTCTGCGGCCAGAATGGGCGACGTGCTACTCATGGGGTCTCGCCATGGCTGGCTGTCTCTCTTGACGAGGCAAGAAGACGCCTGGCGCCCCGTACTGGACCTGGCACCTCGCAGTCGCGACGGCATCACCGCCATCGTGCCTCTGCCCCCCAAGGCCAACGCCACTCTGCCCTCGCCATACTTTGTGGCCACGAGCCGGGACGGGAAATTTCGCATATATCGTGTCGAGTGGGAGGGAGACGGCGCGCGTTGTCATCTGCTGCACGAGACGTCGCCGCCTTTCGGGCCCATGGTTGAGGGCGCATGGTTCACGCGCGACGCGGTCCCGGAACTCATCTTGTACGGCTTTAGAAGCAAAAATTTTGTCATTTGGAACGAGACTCGACGAGAGGAGGTGGCCACTATAGACTGTGGAGGCGCACACCGAACGTTTCGGCCGTGGTTCAGCGCCTCGGATCCCGGGCATTATCGCTTTGCTTTTACTCGAACGTCCAAGTTGGCCATTTCCTCGCAGGCCCGGCCTATCTTCCGGACACTCAAGGCGGGGACGCACGGGCGCGAGATACGAGCTTTGAGCTCCAACGGGCGTTACATTGCCTCTGGCGCCGAAGACACGTCGATCCGGATATGGACATGCGTCTCGGGACGAGGGCAGAGTCGAGTGCGGATATGCCACTTGGCGTCGGTCAAGGCGCACGTCACTGGGATCCAACAGCTGCGGTGGGCTGGCGACGAGTATCTCTTCAGCAGCGCCGGCAACGAAGAGTTTTTCGTGTGGAGAGTGCGCAGCCTGGACTCTTCGTACGCAGGCCTGGCCGTGGTCTGCGAGGCTGTTTACAGCGACAAGAGCGCCACGGGAGACTTGCGCATCATGGACTTTGACGTCGACGGCCGCAGTCTCTCGAGCGGCTTGCTCGTGACCTTGGCCTTTTCCAATTCCACCTTTAGGACGTATCAGTACGGGCCCGATGGTGGCTTTAAGCCCCTTGCTCACGGGGTCTATACCGGTGCTTGTGTCACGCAGGTGCGGCATCTTGGCATGTGCCGAGACAGGCTGTGGGTGGTGACGGCTTCGACCGACGGGCACATGGCCTTGTGGGCGACGCAGGCACAGGGGAACGACCAAGAAGGGCCGACGTATGTGATGACGCAGGCGGCTCAGGTGCACCAAAGCAGCATCAAGGGACTCGACATGACTCGACAAGGGCAAGGATATCTAATCATGACGGGCGGCGACGACAACGCGCTCGGGGTTTCCGCCATCGGCCTTGCGGAAGACGGGAGCGGCCATGTGATTATGCGACGAGGCGTTGTGCGGTCGGCGCACGCGGCCGCCATCAACGGGGTTGTCTGGCTGGCCGGCGAGGAGGGAGCGGTTGGGGTGAGCGTGAGCAACGACCAACGGGTACGAGCGTGGAGAGTATGCGGGACGAGAGTCGAGCTGGTCGGCTCCATGTGCAGCGGCGTCGCAGATCCGGGCGACGTCGCGCAGGTCTGCCTGGGGAGCGTCATGGTGGGAGGGGTCGGGGTCGAGGTATGGAGCTGGCTCGACGGCAAACGCTCCCTTAGCTGCTAGCAGCCACTATGGGAGTTGCAATATGCGCGGCCGCCCTGCTGACTGAGGGACGACGCCGTTGGCCTGGCATTCCAACCCCAGCATTCCAGCGTGCGGCAGGCCACTCCGGTTGTATCACAGAGTGGGTGGAACTCGTCGACCGACGGTTGCTTGTTGGCGACGGACGACGAGGCACCGTTGGCGTCTTCGCATTCGGCAGCAGAGAGGTGCAGTAAAGATAACGTTATGTCATGGGACGATGCGCGTCGGGTGAAACAGCGGGGCTCTTGAAGGAAACAACAAGGACGAAGCAGACGAAGGTTGAAGCACAAAGGGGGACATCAGCGGTCGTTGACGGCTGGCCCCATGCCGGATGCGGAATGGCCTCAGTTCAGCGGCAGCGAATGAGGGGCCTCAGGTACCCGAGGCGTGCTAGCTCATGGAGGGGGGCTGTACCGCGCCTTGAGCAGGTACACGCAGCAGGTTATCGATAGGTAGCGCTGGCCCATGTTTCGCTATGCTCGATTCTAGATGCCATCATCGGTCGGTACCTCGACAGAAGGGTCTCATCAGCGGCTCTTCGTACGCCCAACATCAGCCTCTTGGCCGTTGTCGCCCTGCATCCGCACCCGCATGCATCCATGTGCCGCCACAAGGATCCTCATCTTGCGCCGTGTGCAGTCGGTTCCTGGCATGCCGCTCCCATTCCCGGGCCAAATCTTGGTGCTTGGGCTGCTGGAACGCTTGAGTTTCACCAGGGTGCGAGTACATGGTCCTCTTCCTCTACCTCGCCTCCCTCCCCCCGGTTGGTGTCTGTCTGCTAGCGCCGCATGCTGTCGCCGTGGGATCGGCCGGCCCTCCTTCTCTGCCCATCAGAGAATGAGACCCTGCCCTTTGCTAGTGTCTACCTTAGCCTCCTCAGCCTGTTGTCCCTGCCGTACCTTAAAAATACGGGCGAGGAACCCTCTTTCTCAGCCGTCCGCTCCTTCCTTCCTTTCCTCCTTCCAGACGCCGTCCTGCAAAGTACCTCCGGCCTTGGGTAGGTACTTTCCTCGAGGTATGCATGTGCTGTCGGGCAGGTGCTCCGTCATCTTAGGTACTCAAGTACAAACCAAGTTGCCTTGAGTTACCTATATCTGGGCTATTAAGCTTCCCGTCCCGTCGGCACACCCACCACCCACCCACTCCTTCTTACATATTCCCTCTCCCCGTCGCCCTCGCCAACTTGTTCCTCTTCTCACCTCGCCTTGCAAGCTTCGGGGCGTAGCTTGACGCTCGCCGGGCCTGCTTCCTCTTCCGTCTCCCGTCCCGTCCGCTCTTTTTCGCTTGCCGGAAGCTTCTCGGCACCTCAACTCTCGTCGACGGCAAAATCTTTACGTGGGACCATGAAGGCCATCAGTCTTGTGCTCACGGCCTTGGTGACGTCGCCCATCGTCACCGTCGCCGGCGCCCCCATTGGGCCTGTGGGGGCATGCGCCGAGGTAAGCTCTCTTCGCCGTCGCCTGTCGTGAATACTCTTCTGACGAGTCCTACAGTACAAGGTTGATCAGATCCTCCTGGGCAAAATAGACCGCTCAGAGTGCTGTTCGTATGGGATATGCAAGGGGGACGTGGTCATCTCTGTCGGTGATTGAGAATGGACGAGGGGAACAAGGGTTTCGGTTTTCACTCCTGATGCACATGACCTCGCACTCAACGGCGTACCAAAGACACAACGACGACGACTCGATGGGACTTGGTGTTTCGGCACATGTTAAGCGAGCGAAGGCGTTTACAAACAGGTTCCGTCGCCACCAAGCACCATGATAAACAAGGCGGCGAGACATTATTTTCGCACATTGGTCATACGAGGGGGTTGAGGAAGCTGGCGGCGTCGGGTTCAAGCGTCGCACGCGAAGCGACGAGGGCAAGGGACGCAGGAGTGTGGTGTTGTCGAGGGCAGAGAGCTCCAATGTTTCACGGAGACTCGTTGCGCTGTATCTAAGTGAGACACTCAAAAAGGAAATACGATGGAATCGGCCGATTTGTTCCCTGCGTACGGAGCAGTTGGGGTCGACATGTCATGTTGGCTCTTCAGCACTCTTCAGCTGACGTGCTTGCATGTTTCCCCCCCATGGTTAGGGTCGTTGCGGAGCATTAGCCGTTGAGCCCCCACCATTATGACGCAAGGCGGCTAGCCATCAGGCATGCCGGCGTGTTTTCTGCGGGTACAGAGAAATACGAAGTTGGTTCGTATGTACAAACAGCCAGCAACAGGCCAAACGACGAATGGCGACTCGTTGGACAAGCGCCAGTCGGTTCACACGAGAAATTTTTGAAAGGCCCAGAGCAGAGTTTGGGGAGCCAAGACTTGCTTGGCCCGGCTAGCTTTGGCCGAGGGGGTGGAGACGGTCGAGTCCCGAGAAACTGGCTGTCATGCGCAAGGGATAGCCAGGGACCACCCTGTAGCGAGCGAGGCGTGACGTCGACCAGCCACTCCCATTACACTGTTTTGGCGTGTGCTGCCGAAGAATCGGGCGCGCGTCCGTCCGTGGTGACGGGCGTGGAGGAGGCGGCCGCTGGCAGATTTGTTACCTGGCCAAGAGGTGGATGCGAGAGACAGAGATAAGACACACCACCTCGAGGATCTTCGTCCATGCATGCGCGGGAAAACGGAAGGCAGCGAGGGTCCCAACCAAGGCTCCGTCGAGCCGGCCAGCTGATACCCACCCACCCACTGCACAGCGCTGTCGAAGATGGTCCGGCCGGCGATGCGCCCCCTGCAGCAGCTGTGCCGCGCGTGTGCGTGTGATGGCGTGAATGACGTGCAGGTTTTGCCTTGCTCCGCGGCACAGCATGTGTGTAAAGGGTGTACAGTACGGTACTGTATGTCACGGCTGTACAGAGTACCGTAGCCAGCTATGCGCGGGCACACAATGATGCCACGATTGTTGGGTGCCTGCCTGTCGCCTGATGCGGCCGCACTCGAGTCGCCCGGTTACGGGGTTTTGCCTCTGGAGACGCAAACTCTGTTGCTTGCCACGAGCGCCGCCCTCCTGCTCGCTTCAAGGGCCGGGTCCACCACACCAGGGGGGCGGATTGGGAGGGCCTTGACGGGACTCCTCACATCGGTCTGACAGCTTTGGTCGTTCGTTGGTGGCGGTTCAGAGTGTTGAAGGGAGCAAGCATGCAGCCGTCTTCTAATCCAGTCTGGTCCCCAAAAAGGATAGAAAAAAGCCCCTCTTTTGCCGGCTCGGCCCTCGGCCCCGAAACGCGCCCGCCCGGGTCCCGGCCTCAGCCGACGGAGCTCCGGTGGTCCTCCGGCTATAAAATACCCAGACATGTCGCTACAGTACAGGCAAGCGATGATGGACGAGAGGACGGGTGGAGAGCTCTTGGCCTCCAGTCCAGTGCACGCACGATATGTAGCGCATTGATCATCGGTCCTTTGGCCAGCCGTGATTGGTGCCGCAAACGTTGTGGTCTTTGTGGCCCGAGGCTGAGAGTGCAACCACCCCCGCAACGAGCGTTTCGAATCAGAACGCGGGAGGGGGGGGAAGGGGGGAGGAGAAGGTCACAGTCGTCCAGTAGGCTTGCATTGCGCGCAGAGGGCTTGCTCTGATACAACACACCCTCCTCTCGCGCCATCTTGAGTCGCAGTCCCGCCAGGCTTCACCGGCCATTGAGCAAACGCACGCAAACGTCCTCACCGAGAACTCGCCTCTGCGCGCCGTTGTACGAGCTTGCTCTTCCCGACGCAGCGATTCGCCCGCCCTGCTGCCATGGCTTCAACCGGTGTTGAGAGCGGCCGCGGCGTAGACACGGGCAGGACGGCCACGTCGCCCTTGAAGCCCAACATCGGGGTGTACACCAACCCAAAGCACGACCTTTGGGTCACGGCGGCCGAGCCGAGCGCCGAGAGCGCCAAAGCCGGCGCCCACCTCGAGCCCGGCGAGGTCACCATTGCCATCCGGAGCACTGGCATCTGCGGGTGAGTTTGGTCTCGGGGCTCTTGTCCGCGCGACGCCGTCGTCTCACCGACTTGTCAGGTCCGACGTGCACTTCTGGCGCCACGGCAGCATCGGCCCCATGGTCGTCGAAGGCGACCACATACTCGGCCACGAGTCCGCCGGAGACGTCATTGCCGTGCACCCGTCGGTCAAGCACCTCAAGGTCGGCGACCGCGTGGCCGTCGAGCCAAACATCATCTGCAACGCCTGCGAGCCCTGCCTGACGGGGCGCTACAACGGCTGCGAGAGCGTCGAGTTTCGGTCAACCCCCCCCGTACCGGGCCTGCTGCGCCGCTACGTCAACCACCCGGCCGTGTGGTGCCACAAGATCGGGTCCATGTCCTACGAAAACGGATCCATGCTGGAGCCGCTGAGCGTCGCGCTGGCCGGCATGCAGCGCGCAAAGATGCAGCTCGGAGACCCCGTCCTGATCTGCGGCGCGGGCCCCATCGGGCTCGTCACGTTGCTCTGCTGCGCCGCGGCGGGCGCGTGTCCGCTCGTCATCACCGACATCTCCGAGAGCCGCCTGGCCTTTGCCAAGGAGCTGTGTCCTCGCGTCATCACCCACAAGGTCGAGAAGGCGTCGGCCGAGGAGGCTGCCAAGGCCATTGTCAGGTCATTCGGCGGCGTCGAGCCCGCGCTGACCATGGAGTGCACCGGCGTGGAGAGCAGCATCGCGGCCGCCGTCTGGGCGTCCAAGTTTGGCGGCAAGGTCTTCATTATCGGCGTCGGCAAGAACGAAATCAGCATCCCCTTTATGCGCGCGAGCGTGCGCGAGGTGGACATCCAGCTGCAGTACAGATACTGCCACACTTGGCCGCGGGCCATCCGGCTCGTCGAGAGCGGCGTCATCGACCTGTCCAAGCTCGTCACGCATCGGTTCCCGCTCGAAGAGGCGCTCAAGGCGTTTGAGACGTCGGCGGATCCAAGCAGCGGCGCCATCAAGGTGCAGATTCAGAGCTTCGATTAGCTGGCGGGGAGGGCACTGCTCTTTGGCAGGAGATGAGCATACCTGAACCGTGTGGCCTCTGCTTTGTGTTGGTTGTTTAGTTCTGCCGCGGTAGATGAAAGGGGCAGAGGGGCTCAATGGCATAATTATTCTGACATGCAAGCAAGCAATTCAGGGCAGAGTCGAGAAATGGATGCAACGATCACCCGCGGTGCCGGTGATTCTTACTAAGTACCTAATACTCTGTACCTAAGCTGCCAAGTGCGCCAAATAGCTCAGGTACCTCGAGCTTCCCAAAGCGGCTAAGCGCCTCGGCCCCGAGGACATCACGTCCCCAAATCCTCCCGAGCTTTTTTTTTCCCTCTCCCTCCGCCCCAGGAGGCCAACCAACCCGAAAACCCAACCGACCTCTGACATCAATTGACTGAAGCTCCGTCCGCCAGTCAATTGCTCCGCCCCCGGCTCCGATTGCCTGACCGATCCTCTCCCGCCTCCCTCGGAGTCTCGATAAGCCAAAGCCAGCCTTTTCTTCGAGACGCAGCGCAGCAATGGCCATGGCGTCGTCGTCGCTCGCCCGCCCTGTCCTCCGCTCCCGCGTCGCCCTGCGCTTCGCCCCTCGCCGCTTCGAGAGCTCCGCCGCCGCCAGCAAGGTCTCCGAGGCTGCAAAGGACACGGCCTCCAAGGCAAAGGAGTACCAGGCTAGGGCTCAGCAGGGCCTGTCGCGCGTCACCACCGCCGCCGGCCCGGCCATTGTCGGCGCCGCCAGGGGTGTCACGAGTGCGCTGGGCAAGATGGGCGGCCGCACGGGCAAGTTCATTGCCTTTGTCGAGCGTATGCCTCCTCCTCCTTCCCCTTCTACAAGCCCGCTGCTGACTCCTCTGTCCCCAGGGCAAACCCCCTTTGTCGTCTACTACTCCAAGGTCGGTCTCGAGATGGGCAAGATCATGTTTCACGGCCAGAAGATGAGCCCTCCGTAAGAGACCCATCTCCGCCCATGCTCCCCCCGAGCAAGCTTCATCTGACACCGGCAATGCAGCTCAATGGCCACCTTCCAGACCTACTACCAGAACCTCTGGCGCTCCGTACAAAACGGCTCCATCTTGCAGGCGCCCCAGAACCTCCTCCAGCAGGTCCGCAGCCTCAACACCGCCCACCTCGCCACCGGTGGCGTCGTACTCGCCGAGTGCCTGGGCTTCTTCACCGTCGGCGAGATGATTGGCCGTTTCAAGATCGTCGGCTACCGCGGCGAGCCTGGTCACCACCACTGAGCCGACTCTGGCGTGGAACGCGGCTGGGCCGAGACTGGAAAGGGCAAAGGCCAAGGCGAAAAAGACCAGTGGCGCTGTTGAAAAGATGGATCATGATTTCACTGGGATGGGGTACGCTTTTGACCCTGCATCTCAGCAGGGCGCATTCTTCTGGGAGCAATTACCTTTCCCTGATTTGTAACACACACACCATGCATTGTACACCAGACACACAGCTACCATGGCGACTTCTTTCTTCTCCAACAAGATACGGGCAAGTCCAGCACAGGGCCTCTGCTCATCAACAGAGTGAGGCAGAGGGAGCCCGTCTCGACGCGTCTGCTGAATAGACAAGATGGCGTCACCGCTGCGATGAAGGTGATTTCAGCCCTCGTCGTCCCTCTTGATTTGTCGACTACTATTTCGTAAAGATCTCGCTCTTCGGTGAGTGAAGCCCATTACTCGCAAAAGTCGGCTCCTGGCTGGCCTTGGTTTGCCGTGACGCCAGCTGCAGAGCACACCGCCTGGTTTTGTTAGCTGGTCGGAAGAGGCAGCGGCCGCTCGCCACGGGTACCCTTTGCGAATCAAGACCGATATGTTCCTATCATGACACAGGGAACAAATTCGTCTTTTGCATCAGCGCAATTCACATACAATTTTGTCGCTTCGTTGCCTCGAGGCCGCGCCTCCGAAACTAGACTCGAGCGACCAAGAGCAAGATAAGCACCCCGTGCTTGCCCCACGACGATACCAGTCTATGCTCGCTCCCGAAATAGACACGTCCTTTCTACTCGCAGTCACCGACCCCTTCGCGGTGATGCAATAACGCGCTGGGTATCATAGTTCCCCGTCCAAGTCGGCATTTTGTATACGCATCGTAAATTCAAACAAAACGCAAGACCTCAGCGCCGCCCTGGACAGTCTGGCCACCAAATCCTCCGCAGCGTCGCTTGCAGAAGCCTAAACAGATCTTCAAATGCTGCCGTCAGCGGGTAGCCGAGGTTACACTCGCCCGTCTCCGCTCTCTTGACAGAACTTTTGCCGCACGACAAACGGAGACTGCGACCATTAAACGGCGCCACGAGTACCTGGCCAGTAACAGAGTAAGCAGTCGTTCACATAGCAATAACGCTGGCGTCTCGGGATGCGAAGATCGGAGCATCAGAAGCTCAATGCCTTGTCGGGGCCAGGTCATATTGCGGCTGCGTTGCCAAAACGGGCCACTCTTCACTTCCGAAGGCGGCTGGAAAGCCTCCATCGTTTCTCCTCACGTAAAGGAGCTCATTGTAAATGCGAGCATGGAGTCCTACAAGCCTCAACGACGCAGCCGAGGCACGCGAGGGCTCGAGCAACAATGACTCTTTGGATTTTGGGGGCGGGTGGTCAGAAATCTTCTTTTCATGTTGCAAGTATGCGCGGGCGAGAACTACCGGAGGCTCTCCCGAGCTCAGTAGCGACGACAAGCTCATCTGTCAGTTAGAATGGCATGTTTTCAGGATGGCGCTGGGGCCAGGTGTCCATGAAGTCCAGTGGCCATTAGTCGTCGTCAGATGTTGTCCATAGCCGCCAAGTGTGCCTGCTCATCAATAGCCGCGTTACCATGCAAGTGGCATCATTCATTTGCCTGACGTGGAGCTCAAACTCTGCCTGGCTGTCCAGTCCTCCCGGCATGCATGGGCGGTGCTGGCTTGGAGGCCCCATGGTGAACCCCGTTGGGGCCCGTTGGGGGGCTTTCTCGCTGTCCAGATGTACCTGCAGCAAGCATTAGATGATTCCGCCACTGGTAAATGACAATGGAGCAAAGGCGGAACGGGACTTGTGCGCCTGGGCAACGCAGGTCATAGGATTCGAGACTCACACTGTACAGTAGCCGTGGTACCGCAGTTTGGTGTTCTCCTCCTTGACTCGCGCACAAAGGTCATTAACCTCCTCCACCGTCATACCTAGTCTTTCAACCATTGGCATCAGGCTGATAGCCTCAAGGCCATGCTTCATACCCAGGTTAAACCACCTTGCAGTATCTTTTTCCCAGGTATCGGAAGACCATGGGTTCACGTAGCAGCGGACAGTCTGCTCCCTAAAGTCGCAAAAGCCGGCTTGCTCGATCATGAGCCTGGTCTGCTGCGTGGAAACTCTGGCGCTGCGGTTGAAGAGGTCCAGCGCTTTGTGATATGCGTCAGACCACTCTTTGAACGCTGAATTCTCGGGGAAGTCGCCGCTGCTCTCCCACCGGGGGACCCAATCGATCTCCACATGCTCGAGAACGCCCGTGCCTGGAGTCAGGTGCCTAAGTCAACGTCAGCCATGAGGGTGGAGCGTTTCGGCACGAAGACACATACTCGAAGATTTTGCGGTACGTGCTAGGCCACAGGTCTGTCTGAATGCTGCCGAAGAGCATTCGGACATGTACCAGGTCACAGTCCCACATCAGAGAATCCCATGAGGGCTCCTCGATGTCAAACTGCACCGTGACCATGCCGCGAGGTATTCTGCGTCTCGTCAGCAGGCGGGCGGTGACTGGATGCAGGTTCGCTCACAGAGCCGGTTGGACCAGATTAAGATCAACAGCCATAATCTCGGGAAGCTGCTCCAATCTGGTCCAAGTCAGCTACGTGTCACGATGGGGGTCGGGCTTCATATTTCGCAAAGACTTACTCTTCAGCAAGGTTGATGGCCCAAATTCCCGTTCCCGTTCCCAAGTCCAAAACTCTGGCAGGTCGACCGAAGTTCAAGTTTTGCCCACATACTGCTTCTTTTCGAGCAACAAGGAAGAACTTGTGGAACAAATCAAGCCTATTAAGCTCTTCCTGCTCGCCAATGGGTCAGAGTTTGGCCATCCAGGGTCCAGGTAAGGAGCGCCCACAGCATCTATCGGGAAGGGGTATTTTCTCGGTCTCCAGCCGCCGTAGAACCGGCCATGCGCCCAGAAGCCCTGCAGCTGCTGCTGGTGTTGGCTCGCCATCCTGTTCGGAGATCAGCAGCCATCTTGGTAAACCTAAGCCGGGGCCAGTCGAAGAACGGGGACGCGTACGGATTGTGTGGCATGATGGCCGCAAGCTCACGGCGACTGTACACGGCTAACAATGCAGAATACTATCGCCAGATTCGGTGAAAAACTGATTGGACAGCGATGACCCGAGGCTTATGTTAGCATCCCGAGCGAGAAGACGAAAGGGTGAGTGATAAGGGGAGAAGCGTGCGCCCTCAGACACAATGAAGCGACTCAGGCGCACACAGAGTTGGCAGAGCTTGGTTGATAGAACCAGTCATCGGAAGGGCAAATCCGGAACTGCTAGGGAGCGGAAACCTTTTGTGCAAGACCCCGAGGCAGACGCAGTGAGTCAGATGAGCAGGGTACAAGCGGAAAGGGACCAGGAGCAGGGACGGAGGGGAGGATGGGTGGGTGACGGAGTTGACGCCCGGGGTACTCGAGAAGATATGGAAATGCCCGACCCGGCGACGCATGACCAGGGAAGGGCACACTGAAACATGCATCCTCCAGTACCGCAGTACCGGTAGCTTTCTGGTGCGCCACAGGAGTCTGGTTGCCAGCTCATCGAGAGGAGTAGGAGTAGCCAGCGTTGGGCGCGAATCATACGTCTTGTAAGACAAACCGAGCGGCAAGGGGAAATGAGGGGAACGAGGCTCTAGGAAAAGCAAAAGGGGAAAGCCCACCAATATCTCGTGAAGGAGGACCTCGAATCATGAGCCAACTCAGGTCAGGCCTTGGAGAGGCTAGGCTTGCTCGTGGAAGGAAGAATTAGCCAGACAGTTGGCGGGGCGTCGCAGGACCGGAAGCCGAGCTGAAGCCTGATGAGTTGTTCCTTGGTCTCGCAGTGATAAGCGTTGGTCCCTCGTGTGCTGTGCTGTGCTATCAGCCAGCCAGCTTCGGTCGATGTTGGCGGACCAAAGCTGAACGTGGTAGTAGAAGCTCAGGGGCAATTACACATTGAATGAGTCGGCAGCAAGACTGGCTCGGAGGAGAAACTTAGAGCAATGAGACGGGCCAAAGCCGAGGTGAAAATTTTTGAAGCCTGTCAGAGACGAGAGAATTGGATGCCCAACGGAGGCGAAGAGCAATTCGAAGAAGCCAGTCGGGAAGAGGCGGGCGGCAGAGCTTCTAATAAGTCTGGGCAACCATGGAGAGCACTGCGCCTGTGTTGTGAATGTGGAGCGCACACGCGCGCGTCTCGCTCTATGTATGTATGGTGTATGGTGGGTGAGTGAGAGCGTTTGTGTCAGTCTCGGGCGACGGCGGGTGGGATTGAGCGACAAGGCGCAGGCGCAGGGGCCGGACAAGCAGACAGGGACAATGAAGGCAGACGAGCCCGTCTCGGAGACGGAGACGGAGGACAATTGAGCGAGGGGGAGGCGGCGCGCAGATGGGAACAGAGTTTGTGGGCGGGCGCGTGTGTGCGACGGTCAGGAGTCTGGCGCCGCGAGGACGGGCTGTGGGAAGCTGGCGGTCGCTGGAGGAGCCGCTGGTGCCATGAGGTCGGTCGTTGGGGGGGGTTAGACTGGCGTGGATCGAGCATCAAGGGGCGGATGGCATGGCTCGTGGTCGGTAAGGTTTTCTCTGCTCGCACATTCTGGATGTGCGGTGGTAGTAGGTACGCTCTGGATTGGATTGGGGGTGGCATGAAAGGCATGGGTGGTTGGTGGTGGGCGTGGCCTTTGGACGGGGGCGTGGGGGTAGAGTTTCGTCGAGGTAGCACAGGGGAGGGAGCTTGAAGAGGTAGAGCGGTAGAGCGACATGTAAGTTACTCCGTACTGCCCAGGGCGTGGCTTCCGTCTTGCCCGGCAAAGGCCAACATGCCTCACCCTCACTTGCTGTATCCGTGCGGTACCTGCCATGGCGGCGTTCAAGTGCTCTTTCCCCACGAGGCACTGGCGGTCGGGCGCGCGCCACCTTGTCCGAGGGCGTCACTTTCTTCATGTGCTCTGGCTTGCCCGAGCCATCTGCTAGCTGCGCATCAGGCCTCGGGGACGGAGGTAACTTATATGGAAGGTACTATAGAGCGGATCCAGGTATGGGCACCGGTCCCGTACCCAAGGACACTTATAGTTCGCGATTCATGCCTACCTACCGGGTACCAAAGGGGTGCCAAAAGGATACCTGCTGCTCGGTACACTTCCCGCCCCCCAATATATCACCTGCCGGCAGGCACCATGGCCTGCTTGCAGAAGTTTGATGACGATTTCTGCTCTCGAGCCCATGCAGCCGGCGTCTGGATCACTATCCATCCCTCTGTATGTACATACCTACATAATACCTACCTAGGTACCGGAGGTAGGTTGGGGAGCTCCGAGGGAATTCGACAGTGGGGCTCACCCAGAGAGAAAAAATACGATGCCCCATAGTCGTACTTTTGTACAGCAGTTCGTTAGGTTCCCACTTCTGCTACCCACCCGTGCGCTAAAAACGCGTGCGTAAGAGGCCGTTATTCCCCCTTGGGCTCGTGTGTTCCCCCCCAGCGGCGAGCGACGGCTGGCGTAGGTGAGACACGGCGTTAACAGACGACGGAGCCACGGTCCAGAGATGAGGCAGAGCGCTGCCTAACAGCCCCCCCCCACCTCGTCCTTTAAACAAGATGAAAATGGAGGCCAAGAAGGCGGAAAGTGTGCAAGAATCTTGGCTTGGAAATTGGGTCGCTCTTCTCGCAGGTACCGTGCCTCCAACAAGACTTACCTAGGTACCTCAACTTAATTACCTTGCCTTGTAGTACCTGACCCTACTATGTGCGCTGGCTTCGGGTGTCGCGTCTCTCGTCAGCGGGTCCCGCAACCAGTTTTAGTCGATGGACAAAGTGCGCATTGTTGGGTCGGGCCGTGTCTTTGAGCGTGCCGTCCCATTTTGGTGTGGGGGGGCCCTGCCAGCCCTGTCACCGCGCGCGCCGTTGCAGAGCCCTTCCATTTCTCCAGGTTGCTTCTGCGCCAATGTACTGCATACCTGGTATTCCATGCACCCCTTTTTGCGGTCCATGTCTCAACTTAGCAACTACCTACCCTGCCTATTGTGGTACCCATGGTAAGAACTTGGGATGGTTGGTCCGACGACTTGCACCTGGACTGAGGGCCTGTTACTTCTCGGGTACTTACCTTCCTAGGTACCTACCCTACGTTCCAAGGTATCCGTAGGTACCTAAAATATGTAAAGTGTACCTTACTCATTCTTACTGGATGAGGTACCTACCTATGGAAGCGGCCCCCAAGCTCGGCTGACTTTAGTCTTCCGCCGGCGGCCTCCTCCAGTCTTTCTCATACAGAGATGGCCGAGCCGACGGAAACATGCATTGCATCTAAGCAGGGTACGTAAGTTGTCCTTTTTTGCTTTCTTTTTCAGAGACGCGGGGGAGGGAGGCCGAGACAGCCCAGACGCGTGGGAATCCAAGGCTCTGGTCGACCACCGGCCCCTCGGCCACCGAAGAGCGTCAACAGTTCCGGAGCAGGTACGGAGTATACCGCCCCCCCGTCCCCGACGCTGCGACATATGCTTTGCCCTGTGTTAACTCGAAGCATGCACAGCAAGGCGGCAACCATTCGCCCATCTGCCTTGGCACATAGCCTCTCTCTGGCCATCTGCGCTGAGGACACACAATGAGACGTTGCCAGCCATGTTGGCTTCGCCTCTGCTTCTGGATTGCGCAATGCTGCCCAACAGTGGGCTTTTTTCGGCCGCACAAGTGCAGTTTTTGAGGCGCGCGCAGACCATGGGTTGCCCGTTGATGCATCTTCGCATCCATGCCAACACGGACTAGGTCGGCCTGGTATTTAGCACTGGCAGACGACGTCGGGTCGGGTTGCGCTGCATGCTTCGCATGACGACGGGGACACACACTTTGTTGTGTGAAACCTTGCACCACGGCAGCCCTGCATCACCCGTCTTACTCTATTCGCATCTCCCGCGGAGACCAGGCGCCAAGGAGGGAGCAAAGAGACGGGGTATCCGCGTCCCCAAAAACCCGGCGCGCTTTTGGTCTTTGGCGGTGCTCCGTGCTGCGGCCAGAGTCGAGGCTTCTGGCTGTTAGCCGCCGTAAACAAGCGCCAGACGGTGCATGGACGCATCGTTGATTGCCGCCGGCCAACGGCCTCGACGAACCAACCCTCGACATGTCGTCCCAACCGTGACATGCCTACGCGCTGACTGGTGGGCTGCTGACGTCGGGTTGCCGTCGGCGGTGCCGTGCTGTCGGTCCTTTCGGCTGAACTGTAAGTGTTTTATGTAGGGGCTCCTGGGTGAGGTGGTAGCGACCTTGAGCCGCCTAGACCTGCCTTGCCGTACCGGTCTTGGGTCATGGGCGGTCAGATAGATGTACTGTACCTACAGCCGACACACCTGGGCTACCCTGGACCTCGACAGCTGCTGACATCCATGGATGTCTCGGAGCCGGCCCTCTGCTCCTTGATCCCACCAGCAGACTTGCTGCCTGCTGCCTAACTCCCCTTCCTCCCAGGCCGCCTAATTACTGCATCACTGCAGATGTTCCTACCAATCCCTTGGGCGAGCTTCCAAGATGTGGCTGCATACGACCCCTGGGCTTCGCTGCCGTCGCATCTCCAGCTCTCCGGAGCATCCAATACGCGCCCACTTCGGTCATGCTCTACAGTACGACGAGGGAAACACGACAGCGCTGGCCAGTTGGCGAAAATGGACAGGCTTCTGCGGCCGCGAGCATCCTCCAACACCGCAGCCACATGCCACCAGACGTCACCAGCCCGACTTGCATGGCCTTGCAAGCCGCCTCGTCCAATGCCTGTCCCGGCCAGGCTGCTGAAGCCTTCGCTCCGGCGTTTGATTCGTTCCCGAGCGCTTGGGCCCGTGTAGGACAACCTTGGTCGCGGTGGAGAAGGGAAGGAGACATGCCACTCAGCACACCAGTTGTCCAGGCCACCACGTCTCGCCTGGCCCGCCGGGGTCAGCTTTCCCGCGCCCTTTCCGAGATTCTCCTCGCTCATAACTTGTTGGTACACCGACTGTTGTCATGCTGACTGATGGCGGAGCCGGCCGGCTTCATGGCCGCTTTGCTTGCCGTGGCCAACAGCATATCCTGGCAGCGATCAATCTGGCAAGGGATTCTGGCAAGGGATTCTGCCCAAGAGTTTCCCGATGCCCTGGGTCAAGTTATGCTGTCGTTGGTGCCCTTTCTTGGTGTGCAGAAGGCGCGCGAAAACTTGTGTGTTGGCTGAGGCGGTCAGCAGAGGCCAACTTGCAGCAGGCTGTCGACCTGTCTTGCGTCTCCGTCATGCCATTTCCCAAGGGAGCAAAAAATGGCAAAAGAAAGACGGAATGGTGTGTCCTGGAATTTACTACTGGGAAGTTGTTCACAAGCAGCAGACGCGGCGCCGCTGCCGCGCTGGTGCCGTCGGATGCCTCTGCAACTCGACCATGTCGAAGCGACTTGCGAGCTCGTCAGGAATCGGCCTCTACCATCCCGCCTTCCCATCTTCCGAGACCTCCAGGCCGACAGGCCCGAGGGAGGACGGACAAATGAAGTCGTTGGACCGAGTGTTGTCACGGCCATTGATGGTGAGACGCATTGGCATGACGGAGCAGCAGCATCCATTGACTCGTGCAAGATCACACTGGTTTTAACGTTGGGCTGGGAAAGGAAATTCTGTGGGAATTAAATTCCGAGTTGCCCACTTGCAGCTCGCGCTCGTCATTCAGTGCCCTTGAAGTATCAACACTGTGGGTTGGCATAGGCGTTTGTGTCTATGGACTGTCAAAGCCACGTCCCATCTCAGGGCGTCGATCAGATCTGCACTGGCACCCAACCAGGCTACAAGAGTGCCTCGGTCTCTTTTCTGAAAATTCCCCGTCCTCATTACCCGTCGGCGAGGGATTCTCGTGGATGAGTTCGTCGTGTGCCGTGCTGGCGCAGGCCGAATCCGACAAGGCGCTCACTCTCCGGTAGGGCCGTGGCGCGGTGCCGTTGCACAACGAGACGGAACATGCGTAATGTCGAAGGTGGTGGAACAGCAAGAGTGCAGAGATGTACATGGTTGGTTCGCCTCGTGGTTCACAGACGGGTGTGGACCAGGCCACATCGATGAGCAATTTACCCCTGACGTTGAAGTAAGTGCTTCACGGGCAAGGGGACGAGCAGCACGATGACTTGGCATCTTGGCGAAAGGAACATGGCCTGTAAGCAGGCGAATGCTCGCCGCTCTACAGGCGCAGAGCCCAACGATGGCTAACCCCTACCAATGGGAACCGGCTGCAGTGGACAGAGCAGGGTTGGTCATTCGGGACCAGACTAACGGCATGCGCTTGGCCAGGCCGACGGCGAAACACCCGTCGACGAAGAGGCGTGGTGAAGGCAGTTCTGCAGCGTCGATGAGCCAGTCGCGAGTGGGCTTGCGTCTGGCCCGGGGTTCTGGGAACAGGCTTGATGCAGGCCGAGGGGCAAGCTCCCGTCGCGAGGGGGAGGGACTCGGCCTGGCATGGGGGCCCAACACCATGTACATGGACAGACGAGGTGGTGTAGGCAGCTCAAACGACCCGGGCGTAGGCATAGACAGTAGTGCAATGCACGCACGATCCCCTCCCCCACACACGCACTCACACCATCATGTCTGCAGCCTCCGCTTCGGTGCGCCGGGCCGGCGATGCTTGTCTGGACGACGGCGGCCGGGATGTCGTCGGCTGGGCCAAGCGGGCGGTCCGGCGTTTACTCGCAGCATTCGCCCGTGTTATCTCGCGCTGGTCGACGAGGCCGAGGATTGGACACGGCACGACGGACTGGCTGTTTCTTTTCCCCTGGGAGGGGAGACGGGGTCCATAGGAGTTGACCACCCGCGGTCGCCGCCGCGCGCTGGGATGGCGACGGCTCGCCCCATTTCCCGTCCCGTCCTCCCCCCCCCCCATGGGCCCAGCACACTCCCACGCTCGGCATCCGACGACGAAGCGGGCAACAACGACAGACAGGCTCGGTCGAGGGGAGCCACAAACACCCGCGTACCGCACTGGAAGCGAAATCTCCGAGGCCCTCGGGCGGATCCCTGCTGTCCGGGCGGGCCCCGCTGACGTGATTGGCCGAACCAGACTGTCGGGTCGATTTGGGGACGTGGCGCGCGTGGGGGTTCTCCCGAGCCATGTACCTTTTGCACGGAGCGAACCGTCGCCCGTGTCCTTTGTTTGCCCTCCTCGTTTGCCCTCCTCGTTTGCCCTCCTCGTTTGCCCTCCTCGTCTGCCTTCCTCGTTCCGGGCACGGGCGAAAAGACGATGAGGCGTAGACGGAGCCACGGATACGCGACACGAGCAGGTCGGGTGCTCACCGCAACTGCCGCCCGCCCCCGTTTGACCCCGGCCTGCCATGCTCGTCTCCGTCGGCGCAAAACAGTCGTCTGGCCCGCCCGCATCATGCCCGGCCCCGCGTGTCTGCCTAGGGCTGTGGGGCGGTCGGAGGAAAGGGCGTTAAATGAGAGGGCGTCCTCCCTCTGCCACCTCCAAGCGCCGCCCGCTTGCTTCAGTCCCCGGCCTTTCGCGAGAGCGAGCGCCCGGCCCGCATCGCCCATCGAGCGAGGACAAGGGGGACTGTCGGCGTGTTCCCGCTGCCAGGGCATGCAAAGGCAGCACAGTGCGGCCGGAGAGACCACTTGAAAGCCCCCTTGCAATCTCGGTTGCCGCCCGTCTCGCGCGTCAGTCATCAAACTCAGGCCGCCTTGGCATCGTCGAGGCGCCATCTCACGAGCCTTGGCTAGAGGCCAGGGGCATTCGTTCTCTTTTCTCTCTCTTTTTCTTATTGTTTCCGAATACCAACTTGTCGGTTTTTAAACTGTGCCGCCCCGTCTTCTTATAATACACCAGTACAGAATGAAATCGCGAATGCAAACGCCGACTCCTCTTGCAAATCCACTCTTTCCCAAGCCGCACCACCTGTCGTCAAGGGAAACCCTCCATCCATCTCAATTCAATCTGATCCTGTCTTGAATCTTGCGTGACCGTCGCTGCTTTTCCTGTGCGGGCCTGGGCAGCCGCGTCGCCTCTGTGTACCGCTTCTGCTTGCCCGCACCGGAGCGTCCGAGTCTAGCCAGACCCCTGACTCCTGATAACCTACCACTCGTACTCACCAGTGGCCTTGTGGAAGACGTACTCCTTGCCGTTGACCGTGAGCACACCGTCCTTCAGCGTGCATTTCCTGGCGAGATACGTGTCAGATTCTCCTCGTCCAAGTGGGAAAAGCCCGGATAGCAAGCATACCACTTGTTTTTGACGCGCTGGACCTTGTCATACATGCAAAGCATGATGTGGCCCAGACCTTCGTCATCAACCTCGTCGTCGTCGCGATCCTCCTCGGGATCGTCCAAGTCCGAGTTGATAGCGTCCTCGTCATCAACGTCATCGTCGTCGTCGTCGTCTCCACCGTCAAATGCGGCGACGCCCTTGCCTTTGCCTCGCTGCTTGGCCACTTTGGCCGAGCGTCCGGTAGCCTCCTTGAGAGGCACCATCAAGCCGCCACCCTCCATGGCCTTTGCCTTGATGGCCATTTGTTCGTGCAGCATGCGATCAATCTCAACTCTGCCTAGCTCATGCAAGTTGCCACCGACCCCGCGCTGAAGGAGAACCCCCTCGAGGCCATCCTCGTCACCAGCTCCGTCCGTCTGCCCGTTGCTGATGTGATTGGCTGCGTCTGCCGTCTGCTGGGGACCCGCAGGATCACCCGTCTCTTGGCCCATGGGTTGCCCGGGCGCTTGCTGAGCTTGTGGCTGCGGCTGCTGCTGTCCCATGCGATCCTGAATGGCGTTGATAGAGCCAGCAGCCCGCATGCCGTATTGCAACTGGAGCTGCTGGGCGGCTCTGTTTGCGGCGACGCTGTTCTTGTTTTCCATGCCATTGTAGCCGGGCTGCGGAGCCAAGGCATTCGGCTGAGAACCAGGCTCCTGTTTCACGTTTTCTTGCCTCACAACGCCAGGCTCCTGCTTTACCCCGTTCGCCGGCGCTCCGTCAGCCGTGCCCACGTTGGGCAGAGACAGCTCAGGGGTGAACTGTGCCTGAGGATGACTCTGACTGGAAGCTGCCGGCGCAGCGGGGGCGCTTTGAGCAGGCTGGGGCGGATCAGGCTTGGGGTCCCATGGGAAGCGAGCCACGTCAAGCTGAGAGAGCTTTTGCTGCCATCCCTATACGTCCCGCGTTAGCAGGTCCAACGGTCTGCCTCCTGGCTAGCAGACTATCGGCAAGGGAGAGAGAGGGCAGCAGTGTTGATGGAAAAGGGAGCAGGAAGCGCTGCAAGCAAGGTGCTGGCCGCGGCAGACGAGAAGGGAGGAGATGGAGGGAAGGGGGGTAAGCAGCCTTGTGAGGGGCGCCCGTCCGTGGCCAAAAGACCCATCAATCCTTGTGCTCCGGCCAGTCCACTCTCCGCCCAAGGGACCAGGTTCATTGAGGATATCTATTCGTCCAAACCATCCAGGCACTCGCCTCTGGCAAAAGGACCGAGTGTAGCAACTGGATGGGTGGGTAAACACATACGGAGACCCAGAACAACCGCGCCTCACTCAATGGGCAAAGAGGCGGGCAGTGGGTTGATTGTTGGGCGGCGAGGGACAAAAGGGAGCTGGCTGGGAAGAGGCAACGAACCTTGCGCAACTCCTCCAAGACAGAATCGTCGACGCCGCTCTCCTCAAAGTCGACTCGCGAGCTATTGATGACCTCCTCAATGATGGATTGATAGACGCTTCCGACCGCCTGATTCGACATGATAACCCTTGCTTGCCGAGGTGCTGTGCACGCTCAATCACCCTGGTCGGTCGGTCGCAGTCGCTCGTCGTGGTGGCGAGCCGCTTGATCTAGCTAGAAGAGAAGAAGCCCGTTTCCGCGTCGCAATTTTCAAAACACCTCGTCCAGGGCCTCGAGGCCGCGCCAAGAGCAGCGCTGCTGATTCCGCCCAAGGGAGGCACAGCTATCTGGGAGCGAGCAGCAGCACAGCACGATAGGAGACAAAGCGAGATGCCTGCGAGAGGATCAGCGCCTGGCGAAGCTAGAGGTTTGTATGCGTTTTGGTTCCAGCGATGGGGTCTCGCGCTCCCGGTCTCGCCGTTTGGTGTCGTCGGTCGTTGGGTGAGGTGAGGTGTAGTGGTCAGAGTTGCCTTGGCTAGGTCGACGTTGGACTTGTAGAGGCTCTTGAGCTTAGTCAGCCTCGACCCGTGGGCTATCTACCTAATCCGTCTGTGCCTATCGCACGCACTTTTGCGACTTTGGGTTGTGCTGTCCGTCCTCCACCCATCTATCTATCTGCCTTGCCTGTGTGAGAAAGCCCACCAAGAATGCACAAGCACGGCACCATCATTGCAGCTCTTCAACGTTCACTGCACAGCTCGGGGTCCGCCTTGGCTCGTCGTCAGGCCACCAGGGGATCCTTGAGTCACCTCATATTGCAATCCCATGACTCACACCTGTGTACAGCATGCTATCTACAAAATCTTCATCAATAGCGATTCAGTCGACTTCGTCTCATTCTCTACCGCAGAGCGTATGCCTCGTCACGTTCCGTTGTGGCTCATCCTCTGTTCCCGTCATCAATCGCCTTCGTTCAGCGTGGAGAAGCTCTTTCGTACCACGTGCGACAAAGAGAGCCCAATAACTCCCAAAAACGCCGTGCTTGCTTGCCATTTCACCGCTCCATGATTCCGGGGTCAAATGAAACCATCTACCTACCGTGCACCGACTTTGTTAGGATACGCGTCTACCGAATCGTCATCTGCTTGACCATGTCGGCCTTGCCAGACGCTCCGGCACCGCCAATGCCTCCAGCGGCTCCAGCCTTCTTTTCAAACACTTTCCAGAACTTGAGGCTCTCGTCGGCAGCTGCAATGCTTGTTAGCCTCGTGCATGCTCGAGGGGCTGCTGCATCATGGTATCCAACTCACCAGCTGTGGCCAGCATTTGGCCGTCGGGGCTGAGACAGCTATGCAGAACTCGGCTCTCGTGGGCAGGGATCTCGACGTTGCGCACCAGCGTCGGGTAGCTCCAGATGCTGAGCGAGTTGTCGGGAAAGCCGCTGGAGCTGACAATCTCACGGTAGTGGGGGCTCCAGCGCAGCGACGTGACTTGAGATCCAGTGTCAATGCTGTTCACGCGAGCGCCCGAGGTCGAGTTCCAGAAGTGGATGTGACGGTCGTACGAGCCGCCTCCGGTGGCCAGCAGGTTCATATTCCAAGGGCACCACGCGAGGGCCTTGACGGCCGCCTTGTGGTTCGTCTTGGTGAACTTGGGAACAGACAGGGACCGGGCGTCCCAAATGGAGACCAGGTTGTCGTTGCCGCCCGTAGCAAGCTGCGCACCGTCCGATCGCCACTCCAGGCCGCACACCTCGGACGTGTGGGAGACGAGCTCGGCAACCTTGTGCTCGGCAATGCGGACGTCGTGGTTGAAGACCAGGCCGCTCCGTGCGCCCGTAGACAGCAGGTGCTTGCTCCAGCCCATGACGCCAACCCGAGTATCGTGGCCAAACATGCTGCGAATCTTCTGGCTTTCGGCAACGTCCCAGATCTGAACCTCGCCGGTTCCTAGGCCGACGCCGACGTAGGCACCATCATCAGACCACTTGACGCTGCTGACGTAGGTGTCGGCGGGGCTCTCGAGCAAGCAGCTGACGCTGCCCTCCTCGGCAGACCAGACATACACGCTGCGTTCCAGGCCGATGGCAACCTGATTGCCCGAGCTCCAGTCGAGCAGGTTCAGGTAGTAGTCATCGATGAGGCCTGGGGCGTCGAGTACACGCTCGGGGGCGGTGGCGATGCGCCGACGCAGCTGTGCAGAGCTCGTGCTGGCAGGCTTAAGAGGCCTGTTATACTGCTGTCGAAGGTCGATGGGCTTGGAAGACTCGGGGGGGGCAGGTTTGAACTCGAGAATCCGGGTGCTCAGGTTGACGCCGCAGGCGCTGGCCAGCGAGTCCTGGTAGGCAACCGTATTGGGGGATGGCCGCGAGTAGCTCTCCGCCTCGTCGTCGTCGATGTTGAGGCTCTCGAGCGCCGCGACAGCCTCGTCGGCCGCCGATGACAATACCGTCGAGCTCTCGACGTTGCTGCTCTTGTTGCGTTGGCGGTCACTCAGGCTCAGCTTGCTCGAGCCCGAGTTGGCAATGGCCGAGCTGGCTCCGCGGTTGGGGATGAAACGGTCGCCGCTGTAGTTGAGAGTCGTCTTGTTAGACTTTTGGCGCAGCGGCGCCTTGCGGGATTTGGAGCTAGCAGGCGTCTTGCCGGTTCCGGTCAGAGCAAAGTCGGACACGCCCAGCTCGAGGGCCTTGCGTGGCGTCTGGACGCCGCGGGCAATGTTGGACTTGGGCGACTCTTTGTGGGAGGCCCTGGACGCAGGTCGAGAAAGGTGTGCCATGAGGTTTCCCCCATATGTCGACTTGGAAGACCCGCGGCAGTCATTGGTGGCGCGGCCCTCGGGGCTGAAGGGGGACGAGTTCAGGTTGACGGGGACGGTGGTGGTGGAGGCTTGGCGGGGAGAAGGGGTGAGGGGCATCCGTCCGCCGGCGGTGCGAGACGAGAAGAGTCCCTTGTGGGACTTGATGGGGGTTGATACTGATGCGGTGGCCATGATGAGCGAGGGGTGATGTGCATCAGCTATTGGGAATCTCTAAACGAGTAGCAAGTGAATGCGTCGACAGAGAATCGAGCTTCAGTGGTTGTCGAACGAGTTCCAAGAGACTCTAGCTAAAGGTTCCTGGGTGGTTAGTATTCTTGTGTTCTGTGCGCAGTGTTCGACGAAGATCGAAGGTGCCTCCACGAAGATGGCGAAGTCGGCAAGGCGATCAAATGGCTGCGAGAGCGATGAGATCTAATGGACTTGAGTGCGTGAAAGACGTTTGGGAGAGAGCTTGGCAAGCGAGGACGCTTTGCAGGAGGGAGAGCAAGCGGCAGAAGAGCGGGTTTGGAGATGGAAGCGGTTTGTGAGGGGAGAGGACCAGAGGAAGGTCGTCGCTCATTCATGCGCTTCCTTTTATTTACTTGCGGCCCCACCAGCGGTCTGGCCGGGCAACGGTCAGGGGCGAGGGTCGGAGGGGCTGCGACCGGAATAATTAGCACCCGGCTCCGCGCACTTGGTCGGCCGGCCAGCGCGCCAGGGCCGCCCCTTGCCCCGCAAAATCCCTGCAGGGGAAGCCGGGAGCGGCAAGCATGCATTCACCTGACGACGCTCCATGACGGAGACAGACACAGAGGCGCATTTCTCACCGGCGGTCAAGGTATGAGTACAATCCCTTTGTGTTCCACGCCTGGCTGTAGGGAGTACCCCGTGCCCCGTAGGCATGCAGGTACGTACTGATGGGCCAACCGTCAGCCCCCGTTTCCCCCCGCCAGCAGATTGAAAGCGAAAATTGGAAGGAGAGACAAGAGGTCTCGACTTCATCCCATCGCCCTTCCACTCCACCGCGGTCCGGCCCATCGTCGCCACCAGCAGCGTCATTGCGGGCCCTCCCCCTCTTCTTTCCGCCTCTCCCCGGGAGCCTTGTCCTCGTCCAGGCCCAGCAGTTCCAGTCGCGTCGCCGCCGACTGACTGCGTCGCCGGGCAGATGACTCGGTAGAGGCACCATGGCGCAACAACCGTCAACGCCCGCTGCCTCAATCTTCGGCGCCCCAGCGACCCATGCTGCCGTCTCGCCTCAGCCCCAGCCCGGCCCTGGACAGGCTCTGTCGAGTGCCGCACCCACCCCGCCGTCGGCCGCCTCGTCGTCGAATACCTACATCATGCCCAACTCCCCAGCCAAGGCCCGCCCCGTGTCCGACGGCTACCGGCCTAAGATAACCCGTACCCTGGGCCAGCGGCCCGCCTGTCTGGTCAACGCTTCCGTGACGTATTGTGGCAACAATCGCATCTACGCCTTTGGCGGCTTCGACCAGTACACCGACGAGGTCTACAACCACGTCCTGCGGCTCGACCTCGCCTGCCACCAGTGGAGCCTAGTGGACAACTATGGCGACATACCGGGTGTTCGCATGGGTATGGCAGATCCCTGGCTGCCACCGCGTCCTTCTTTCTGACTCTAATGCAGGCCACACGGCTACCCTGTACAAGGGAGACAAGCTGCTGGTGTTTGGCGGCGAAAACGAGCACCGCACCTACCTCTCCGACCTCATCGTCTTCGACCTCAAGACGGCGCACTGGACCCAACCCCAGGTTTCCGGCCCCATACCAAAGGGCCGAGCACGGCACGCGGCAGTCCTCCACGAGGACAAGCTCTTCATCATCGGCGGCATAACGGGACAGAACAACTATGTGCTCGACGACATATGTTATCTTGACTTGCGCACCTTTACATGGTCCAAGGCTTGGCGCTTCGTCGGCCGGTTCGACCACTCGGCGTACATATGGGATGGTCGAGTATGGGTCTTCGGCGGTCTCAGCGCCGACATGGACAAGATCAGTGATCTCTGGTGGTTGGATCTCAAGGGCAGCCCCGAGTTTGATTCGCGTCCGCACTTTGGCGTATTTGACCGTCACTCGGCCGCAAACAGAACAAGTGGCTCTCCCCGGCCCCCTTACACCATGGCTCCCGCCCCTGTTATAGGGACGTCTGGGTATGCAGCCAACTCTCGGACGGCCCAGGTCAATCCTCCGTCATTTCAACTAAAGACGTACGCTCCGCTGGCACCCGGCTCCATCTCCGCCGTCAAGTTCATTTCCGGACCGACGATCCCATCGCAAGGCTCTGGTATTCACTACCACGCCTACTCGTCGGGCACGCTACTCGATTTCGTGACCCCGGCCCCAACCATCACGCCCCGCGAGTGCTCCCTCTCGGCCCTGGATCTGGCAACTCTCCGCTGGCAAAAGCTTGCGGAGGGCCGCGAAATATTCAAATCAGGATATAGATGGCACTACTGTACCATGAACGAAGATGGTACCAAAGCATGGCTCCTCGGCTGCCCAACAGATCCGGCTGCGACCGACCTTGGGCCCAATGGCTACGAGGAATATCTCAGGTAAGCCATGACGAATATCCTCTCCAAACTCGCTCTAGCTAACCGAGATGGCTCTTCAGCGACATCATGGAGATTGACCTTCGACGATATGGTTTTCTCGGCAACAACATGGCGCCCGAGCCTCGTACCGAATCCCGGCAATCTGCCACTGCACGGGCACTCGACTCTCCGTCCAAAGGCCTCGGAGCCGACCTAGCCAGGCTCTTCAACCATCCGCCCGAATCCGGCAGTGGCACCGACTTTGTCATCACCGCCTTGGCCGAAGAGTACGACCAAGACGACGCTCAGTCGTCCAATTTGGTGCGGGCCGACGAGCTGGCTCGCAATCAGAACTGGCTCGCGCCAGATGCTCCCACCTCTCAGCCCATCCATGTCCACAAGCTCATCCTGCAGGCGCGCTGGCCGCATTTTGCACGCCTATACAACTCTCAGATGGCAGAGTTTCATACGAAAAAGATGCACATTCCTGAGCCGTATTCCGTCGTCAAGGCCTTCCTCCTATATCTCTACACGGACAGCATTCGCGGCACAGTCGAGCCCGAGAGCGATGCGACGACGGACTTGTCCGACGTGGCTGGCCTTCTCGTCATGTCCAACATATACAACATCCCGCATCTCCGTCTCCTATGCGTCAACCGTCTGGCCAAGGAGCTCGATGTCGAGCACGCCTGCGTCATCTGGTACTGCGCCGGTCTGGCAAGCGAGGAGTGGCTCCGCAAGCGTGCGGCCACGTTCTGTATGACGCATTGGGGGCGCATCGTCCGCACCCAGGGCTTCCTCCGCTTGCCGCGAAGCGCCCTTGTCGAGCTTTCCCAGGAGATTGACATGGAGGGCCGTGTTGTTGCTGGCGAGGAGCTCGAGTGGGGGAACATGCCTGGGCGGTACGGCGACATGAGCCATGGCACGCGGAAAGAGAGCATCAGCAGCAGCCAGACGCAGCTGCTCGAGTCCGAGGCCGACGATGATGATGGCATGGAACTCAACTGAGGACGTCTTCTCGACACTCTGCGATCCGTGTTGCGCGTTGGAGGAGGATGCGTGGCGGTTTCAGGCGCATCCTTCTCGTGTCGTCCTCTTTTTTTTTTTTGACGCGTTTCTTCTGTCTACACTCTCGCTGGATGCATTGCACGGCGCTTTGGCTTCTTTCTGCCATGTTGTCATCTCTTCCGCTCCAAGTCGGTTCATCACGGCGTATGCCCGGCCATCTGCCTTACCTTAGTTGCAATATAGATACCTCGGCTGTTCTCCGCCCGCGAAAGCCCAAGCAACCGCCGCAAACCGCGGTACAGTAGCAGTGAGATGTACATGTGTGAGTCGTCGACGTCACCCCACGCCGGACCAGCATTCTGCGCGCTCCATCTGGCGAGGACGATGGGATCGGCGTCGTGGAACAGCCCGGCGCCGAGGCTGCAGGGGCCGGCTGCCTCTGTAAAACCGGGTAGCTGTGTTGGTTGTCAGATCTGACTGGCCCGCTCGGTCCATCGAAGTGAGCACGTACACGGAGCAACCGTGCCCTTGGGGAACCGCCATTTCCCCAAGGGGGCCAGTCACCAATCAAAACCCAGTGACAAGTTGCCAAGATGTTCGCGTGAAACCGCGGGAGTCAGCTCGACTACACACACATGCACACACACACACACACACACACACGCTTGCATGAGCCGACCGGAGCGGAATGCCTTCACGAAGCACAGACCCCACTAACGGATAGTAGTCCTTTCCTATCTCACGCCGTAAACTGATCATTCTCTTTTCTCTATGGCCTGGAAACTTTTCTTCATGGTGTGCAACAAAAAAACTCCAACGAGACATAGCCCGCCCTTTTCCTTCCCGTATCCATAGCCGCCGGACCGACGGATCAAAAAAAGAGGTATCAAAGCCGCCAAAGACACGCGCTGCAGGCAGCCAAGAGCATCCAACAGAACTAATAAGATTAAAAAAAGGAAAGAAGATGGCGAACAAAGAAACACGCCAGAAAAAAAGGGTTAAAGCGAGCCAACGGAAGCAAGCAAGTGTGAAACTGGGACGAGCAGCAGGTCCGCAGAAGCATACCGAGAAAAAAGTCGAGATGTTTTTCGCTATACTGCCGTTTCTCCAAACCCTCGTACATTTCAGACCAAACAGGGGAACCAGTCGCGGTGCGCCCCGGCCATGCATGAACCTCACACAATGCCGCTCTTCCCCGGTGCCAGGCTCGGAGCTCGTGCACCTGTACCGATTCTGCGCCTTGAAGGGGAGGAAATGATCGCTGCATGTCGTCGCTCTCTATGAAGACCGAAAGGGGAGACAAGACATAAAACCACACCGTAAACATGTACTGGCGGCTTCTCTGGGAAGCCGTCAGACGTAACCGTCGAGATGCGGGGGGAGGCATCAACGAACCATCGACTGGGCAAAGGAGGCCGTTGGCGGTGTCGAAGGTTGCTGAATGCCGAGGTATCTATTAAATTCGACGGGGGTATATGCACATGGAGGAAGACCGGCGCCGAAGCTTCAAGAGTGCGACAAAGGAAGACGTTGGGCCATGTCGATCCAGGGCCCTTGTCTTGGTTCCAGGAAAATCCGAAGCAATAACGCCGTCGCGATGCGCCATGCCTGCAGAGTCAACCACAAGCAAAAAAAAGGCCGAAGAGAGATGTCGCATAGGAGTGGGGAAGCAGGGGTGCTGAGAGGCGTGTAAACACTCGCGCCGAGTATTGGTGCGAATAGGCTCGATGCGTCGACAGTCGCTTGTGTGACCCAATGTCCGCAAGCTGCTTCGAGGGTAGCGGAGTGTCGGACACGGCTCTTTACTGCTGCATCGCTTGGTCCTCAGCCAACCCGGGTAAGGCCAAGCCAGCTGCAAGGGCTTGGAGCTTAAATTCCGGATTGCAGGGGAGAGAGTGAGCTTTGTGCTGTGGCCTTTGTCAGACATACGGTTCGAGGCAAACGGAGAAAGCGCGGGCCATGACTCGACTTACGTATTTCAGGCCGTTCAGGTTCTTGTAGCGCTTCCCGCAAGTCTCGCAGTTGAAAGGCTTCTCCTTCTCCATGCCCAGAGTCCCCGGGTATGGGGCGCTCGTCTCGGGGTTGACAATAGAAAATGTTCCGTCGCCGTTTTCGTGCAGCTGCTGCGTCTGGTGGCCGTGTGCCTTGTGATATCTAATGTGGATTAGCCAAGGGCCCGAATGAAATGGGCGAAGTGCCTCTGGGTACTCACTTCAGTCCATTCTGGTTCTTGTAGGCCTTCTCGCACCCGATGACGGGGCATTTGAACGGCTTGTGTTCCTCGGGCATCATCATGCTCTGGAGACGTTGGAGGAGCACCTTGTTAGTCTCGATATCAGCGAACTGGCCCTGTTGCAGGCCGAGTGCTGCCAGCTGCTGCTGAATGGTTCGGTTTCCTGCGGGGGCTGCGCTGTTGGGGCTGAACAGGTGCTTTCCAGGATCGTTGATGCAGAAATTGGATTCGTTGTTCCCGTTGCCGGTGAAGTTGCCATCTCCAATATCGGCACTGTTGCCACCGCCCAGAGGCATGCCCGGCAAGTCCTCGTCCATATCGTCCATGCCAACGGCCCGTTGGTGCTGCTGTGGCAGTTGCTGGTGGGTGGTGAGGGTCGGCGTGTTGACAGATGAGACGGTCGGGTTGTGCTGGAGTCCAAAGCTGGCGGCTGCAGGCGTGGGCGGCTGCGAGGTACGCAGACCCTGCGTCAGGCCAGATGTATTCATGTTAAGCTGTGGGCGCTGCTGCTGGCCAAACAACTGCCTTGTCTGGTGCATCTTGTTGCTGTCGTCGAGTTCCATGGTGCCAACAGCATCGTCCATCTCCATGTCCGCAACAGCGTCCATGTCGTCATGCATGTTGCTCGCCATCGAAGGGCTCATCTGGGCGCTGCTGGGCCCCGAAATCTGCGCACCAGTCATCTGGAAGCCTGAGCTAGAAGACCGCTGCTGACCGAGCTGGGGAGAAGACTGTGTGTGCATCTGTCCGGGCCCGGGAGTCGTGCGCGAGCTGGACACGGCCGAGGCGCCTGGCATGCCGACTTGGCTGAACTGAGAGAAGGCGTTGTTGCGCGACGTGTTTGGGCTCGGCTGGGTGTGGGCTTCCTCATAATGCTGGAGCAAGTCATGGAGGTTCGGAAGGATCTTGCCACAGCAAGTAAAGTCTCGCATGAAGTTGGCTTCGAGTTTGGGAAGATACGACGATGAGTGGAAAGACGACGACTGGGGCGCGCCAACAGGGAACGGCGATGTGCCCAGCATCATGATGCTGCGACGCGATGAGGTCAGTACAAGGGTTCAAGAATTGTCGGCTGGCGAAGAATGCGCCCCACGATGTGGCGGCACGGCGCACTCGCGCAATAGGAAATCAGACGCTGCTGTGGAGGTAGGGAGGGGGTGGAGGGGGAGAGCGCGGGGGCGGAATGCGGTCGCGACATTCTTCATGTCTCGGGCAGTGAAAGAAAGACGGGGCGGAAATAAATAACGGGCGCGCGGGGTGATGCAAGGGGAGAGGGGGACCAACAGGGGACTTACTCGTCTCGAACGAAGCTGCCAAAGGACATGCCTCCCCAGCTGACGCCGCCCATGAGGCTTCCAGCCAGAGACTCTCTTCGGTTCCGGTTGACGCTGTCGCGGTTCTGGTTGTTCATGTTGATGGGCTTGGGGCCGGCGCTCACGAAGGAGTCGTGACGGCCACGACCGATGGCCGAGGCATCGAGGGCGCCGGTGGTCATATCGACGAGGTCGCAGCCGGCGAGGTCGTCGTCGGAAATGGCAGAGTTGAGCGACGAGGACGAGGCCTCGTCTCGCCTCGGGGGGGCGACGGCAATAGACTGGGCAAAGCCGGGGCTCTTTGTCGGTCGCAGAAAAGAAATGTCGGGGGGCGTTGCCGGCTGGGGCGACGGTGACTGTGTGAGCGACGCGGTCGAGTTGATGAGAGAGGCAGGCGAGTGAGCAGATGCGGGAGTAGAGACGGGGACGAAGGTAGAGGCCGAGGTGGTGGCGGAGAAACAGGCAGCCAAGTCGCCGTCGGCGCTGGTGCCAGGGTTGGTGCTGGCCCAGGCGGTGGCGCTGGCGCTGGCGCGGTCGCAGGGGGCGACGGCACTGGGGTCGGTGGCGGTGGCACCCCTACAGCTGCTCCAGCGCTGCTGCTCGTCTCTGTCCTCGGCGCCCTGGAGCCACCTGAGCGCGCTCCGCATACTAATCGCAGGCGAGTCGACGGAGAGGAGGATGATGAGGATGCAGTGCAAGGGAAACAAAAGGCTTCGAGGGCGAGCGAGACGTGTGCCTGTCGGTTCGCTGCCGCACGTCTTCTTTGCGCTTTAGTTGCTGTGGTTTGGACCTTCGTCTGGTTCCTTCTCTCTTGTCCTTGTTGTTCTCTTCTTGTCGCTCTTGTCCGTAATATCGGAGGTCACAGCCAGGTCGGCGGCGAGAGACGTGTGTAGATGGGTGCGGAGAGTGGTGTCAAGAGGTCAAGAGGCGAGAGTTGGGAGGGAAGCAGGCGGCCGCAGAATGGTGAAGAAAACGGCGCAGGGACGAGGGGGAAGCAATATGATTCCCAAAAGGAAAAAGAAAAGAAAAAGCACGGCAAGCGGCCTTTATGATTCCGTGTCAGCTTGCGTTGAGCTTGAGTGGCTTGTACGGCTTGAATGGCTTGTACTCTTGCGGTGTCTTTAAGGTTCGGTCATCCAAAGCGAGCTTCGCCTTGGAGGCAGATGATAGGCACAGTGTCGCAAATGACTGTCGAGTGACGCACCGTGTGAGTCTTGTTGGTGCGGGCTCGTTGGCGGGCGTCGCTAGTCGAGGATGGCTTGCAGGCTTAGGAAGAAGGGGGAGGGGGGGGGCGCAATGGTGTAAGTCGGTTGGGCGTCGCTCTCCTGAGGACAGGCCAAGGCCAAAAGCACATGCGCATGCCACGGAGACAAGGAAGACTGGGATCTTGGGCCGACTGGGTGGCCGGGGACCGCTACTCTCGAGAGGGGGGCACCACGACGGGAGGCGACCGAACGAGTCAAGGCGGGTCTCAGTCGGTCAACGACGTGCGGTGTTGTTGAGTCGTGTCTGGACGAGGACCCTTGGACCCTTGGTGAAGAAGGCACGTGATGACTCTTAGCCCAGACAGAGCTCGGTTTGGTACCTTCGCGGGGGCGGGGGACCAATGAAGGAGAGGAAGCAGCTACCTACTTGTATGCACCATGTGTGCACCATGTGTGCGCCATTCATTGTCTTGTATGCTTTGCATCTACGTCTACCGAGTATTGGGAATGTGGAATGCCAAGTCCTGGTATACGACGACCGAAAGCAGTACAGTGAATGGGTGGGAACGCCCACTCGAGGATGGCGAATGGAGGCCATCAAAGGCTAAAATGACGATGGGGGCAGTTTGATGGACGAGGCGCCGCCTCTGTCTGCCTCCAGGCCGCAAAGAACGGTGACGGGCTGGGGGCGTGCAAGGCAAGAGAGGGAGAGCTGCCACGTGCTCCCGGGCAACTAGGACCCAGGTAATTAATTACTATACTGTACGGAGTACCTACCTAGGTAGGTCGCTACTGTACTGACATGGAAGCAGCATGGAAGAAGCCACTTATAGGCTCCAAGTCTTATTACTTGCCCAAGTCAGGGACCTGTCTCCGAGATACCAAACGAAACATGAAATGTGTTATCCACCACGTCCTTGGTGCCGGTGGAAACCGTACATTTCCAGACAGACAACCTTGATTCCGTGCCTTGCCTTAGTTAACCATGCTTTGGATGGGGGAAGCCACGGGAGGTAAAAATCGCAGGCGCAGCAGCAGCGTCATGTCCCTCGTCGTGCCTGAAGTGGGCCAAGGTTTCCACTAATGGCAAATCCCGAGGCAGTCAGGGCAGGGAGGCCCCTGAGGCACGTAGACCTGCCGCCATGCCGCATCGAGTCGATGGCTCGCCCCGGAACTTACTGTGCTGTATGTACAGTACCTGCCTACCTAAGGTTAAGGTGGGTAGGTAGTTAGTTCACTGTACAGTACCTTCCAGGCTGCCTTTGGTGCCTTTGGTACCTAAGTAGTAGGTAGGTACTTAGGCACTGGGGAGGGCGCTGTTTAGTTCCTACCTTAACCTACCTACTGTACTTACTAGCCGAGGGCATGCGGTTGGTTAACCCCTCGGCGCTTGAGCTGGTGAGCAAGAGGTGCAACTGGCGTCACTTTGACTCTTGGGCCGCACCTGCCACACCACGTCGACTTCTATTGTGAGTATGTCCATACAGAGGTACTCACCAACATGCGTCAAGCAAGCAGAGAGGGCTTGCATCTACCGCGTGGCCAGAAGTTGGCGATACCGTATCTGCACTCTGATCCTTCTCCCTCCACTTTTTCCTCGCAAACTCTGGGGCCGCCCGGACTTCACCCCCAAAAACTGTGTCTTGGCTTGGGCCTGCCAGCCAGAGTGCGTCGCGAGTTCGAAATGTCAACGGCGCCTGTGCCTACCTGACCACTCACAGAAGCAACTTCGTAGACGCACCCCTACAGATGCTCGTTGCTGAGAAATCGGCCACATATGCATGATCAACACAGGCCCAAGGCAGCAGCAGGCAGAGACCAGGCGACGAGGACGGCACAAGTTGCTTGCTGCCTGTGCCGTGCATTTACCTCTTGCATCGGTTTGCTGAGGCTCCTTCGCCGCCATCGAGCATCGAGCTGCGGGCGGCCCCCGTTGTCCGTCCCGTCACCGACTCGCCCTTCCACCACAAACAACCGCGACGCCCCCATGCTGCGCGCTTACTAGATCGCAGTGCAGTCCTTGCCAACGGAGATGAGGGCGAGGCCCCCCGCCATTGCCACGCGCATGCCCCCCCGACAGCTCCGACTTCTTGGTACCGGCGCTGAGACTTCGCTGGCCGTACACCTGCACCGAGGACAGTACATGCGGTATTGGCAAGCACATGTGCAGGGCGCAGTGACACTACCTACTGTGCGTCTCTGCTCATGAACGGCCGTGTAATGATTCTACACCGCGCTGGTGACGTCTTACACGCACTTGACAACCCCTCCCCCTGCCCTTAGCCTGGACCGAGCCCGTGGCCATCGCCAGATCTCGACGGTGGTGGCTCATAATAGCAGCTCGTTCCTTCACCGCTGGCTTCCTCCCTCCGCTCGAAGCCAACAGGTTGTCGAAGAGGGACGTGCTTGGAGCTGCAGCTGGGCCCCGCCAAGGGATCCATGCATCTTAATAACTCAGGCTTACACATTGATCTCCTTGTTATGCTCGTTGCAAGGGAGCGGAACCGCCACAGCGCGGCGCCGCAAGACAGTCCCGAGATTGAGCGGTCCATACTCTGTAGTCCCCGCCCACTACCTGCACCAACAGGAGACGTATTAACTGAGGGCCAACTTCCCGTCCACGGCTGCTCGGCAGTGTGGCGGCGGTTGTTGACCCGGCCTGCCAACACCAAAGTCGGATTCGAAAAAGGGGGGTGACGATGCCCTGCGGCATATTCACTCACACCATCATCCCCCACGGTACGGATATGGATATGCTGTATCCGCTCCCGGTGGTACGGTTTCTGCCGCCCTACCGTTCCTGCCGTCGGCTGGCCTGCTGCGCGCTAACACCTTGAATGCATGACGGGAACTTTGCTGCCACACGGTGGACCATCAACGAGCTACTAGAGTCAAGACGGGGTGCTGGCCGTTGCTAAAGGGTAGGGTAAGTGGGGAAGGCCCATTAACATACATGGCTACCTATACAGCAACCTATACAGCAACTCGCAAATTATAGGACGGGCAACCGAGATAGGTCGTGAGGGGAGGCCGGAATAAAAGCCCACAGAGAGGCACCGTTTAGGTAATCCTCAGACATCTGCGTCTGTCGTGTCTGCCACTCGAGTCATTGCCCCTGCCTGCATCCGCGTCCCCGGAGCAAAGTCGGTCGAGCCATGCCCAATCCATACTGTACATACAGTATAATTAATATACCCCGTGCAACGCTCGACCAGAGGTGCTACACAGGACACAGTTGCATGTATACTTGGTAGATGTGTACAACGTTGTGGCAAGCCATCGGACGCTCCCTTGGCATTGATATGCATACATGAGGTGGATAGCCTCCGTTTCCAGTTCATGCGCATCTGCGCGTCAGCCGACTGCTAGTCTCGTCGTACAAGAGGACTACTCTAGGCAAACACCCAGCCCCCGTCGGTCCCGGGTAGGGAAGCAAAAGCCGCCTCTCTGCTTGTCATTGCTCACGATGCCCCGAGCACAGACAGTATCCGCAAAACATGGGGCCACCTGGAGCGCTAGTCTTGGCCGATTGGGGGCGTGGGGCACCTGTTTAAACAACAATAACAGGAAGCTGTCGCCGGCGCCGGCCCCCTCCGCTCCCAGCCTCCTCCACAAGAGAGAATATAGCAAAGGTAATGTCAACGACGGCGGTTGTCAAAACAACACGACAATAACAACAGTTGCAAGGGAGCAGCTCCACATAGGCCCCCAGCATGTCAGTAGACGGTACAATGCTTGAATGGTTGCAAGCAATAAGCGCAAACCGCTCTACTCACTTACAGATACATAGCTAAGCGCTGGCCGTCCCGGCGGGTGCCGGTACGGTCGCGGGCGGGCTCACGGGTAGGCTCTTGCGGCGGGGACTCTCAGACCGTGGAGCTCTCTGATGGAACAACTGGATCCCTCTTCCCACCGACGTTTGCCGACGGGACCCGATAGAGAACTCTGGACCAGGCAACAGGGCAAATCAGTGGAAAGAAGCGACGCAACCTTGACGGACTTGGGTGCTATGCCGGCCGGACTCGACTACGTATAGGTAGGTATCCATATGCAGGCCCCCATAATGGAAGACTCGATCAAGCGTGGGCGCATACAACTACAGTACGGCGCATGTGGAAATGTATAGGTATCCAGGTTGATATAGATTATAGCATTAGCATTAAACCTCGAACCCTAAGGCTTCTCATTGTTACTTTACTCCGGCGGAGCGCTGGCCGGATTGGAATATCTTTGCCGGCGCCGCGAGCCGAAGCGAGGACCCCGTTCCCGAGGGAATCGAGCCGCGGCACGCTTGGCCGACCATCTGAAGATGTGTCGGGACATTTGTCTTTTTACTGTAGTGTCCTAGTTAACTACCTCGGTTCCTCCTCCCCTTGGCAGACGATTCTCTGTGAACGAGTGGAGCATGGCAGGGGCCACTCGGGCCGACATGCCATCCGACG